GCCGGCTAGGGGATGGGAGGCTGCGGGCGGGCCTGTGGGCTTGCCGCCGATATCTCCCGGGACTCTACCGGCTGCTGGTTGTGGTCCCCCGGGGCGATCCTCTGCGCCTCTCGAGGGGGGCGGGGGCTTTTCTGGTCGCAGTCTCCCTGGAGTTCCTGTGCTCTGGGAGAGCTCCTGGATCTCTGGGACTTGGAGCTCCCTCCGTCTCCTGCACATATTTAGGGGGCAGATCTGTGGCCCCTCACACTCTCTACTGGTCTCTCCTATAGAGAATCCTTACATAAACAAGCTCGTGCACACACACAGGTGCTTACATGGTGCTCTCAGAAGTATGGACTTGGGCAAGTTCAACAAATGTCTTAAGTGTATGGTGGGCACTTAATGCACTGTGATTTATTATCGTGTGATTGTTCAAACAAAGTTGATTATTTATTTCTTCATCAAGTTGACGCAGTGATAACTGGATCTTGTTGTATTGTTGTTGTGTCCCATTTTTCTTGTTTTTTTTTTTCCTCTCTCTTTCTGCAGGTCTATAAGCAGACTCTTGTTCATTATTGTTTATTTTTGTGGAACATTGAAAGAGCATTGAAATGTGTCTTTAAAATTAAAAAACATCATATGTGAAATCAATCAAAAGGGATCAGAAAATAACTTTTATCGGCTCACTCACATTAATTTCTCTGGGCAGTAGGGGACCCATGATCTGGAAGTAGATAAGCATTAAACTTCTTTAAGAATGTAGTCACAGTGTAGGTCGTCGTCGTCTTCCTCCGCTTATCCGGGTCCGGGTCGCGGGGGCAGCATCCCAACTAGGGAGCTCCAGACCGTCCTCTCCCCAGCCACCTCCACCAGCTCCTCCGGCAGAACTCCAAGGCGTTCCCGGACCAGATTGGAGATGTAACCTCTCCAACTTGTCCTGGGTCGACCCGGGGACCTCCTGTCGGCAGGACATGCCCGAAACACCTCCCCAGGGAGGCGTCCAGGAGGCATCCTGACCAGATGCCCAAACCACCTCAACTGACTCCTTTCGATCCGGAGAAGCAGTGGTTCTACTCCGAGTCCCTCCCGAATGTCCGACCTCCTCACCCTATCTCTAAGGCTGAGCCCGGCCACCCTATGGAGGAAACTCATTTCGGCCGCTTGTATTCGCAATCTCGTTCTTTCGGTCATTACCCAAAGCTCATGACCATAGGTGAGGATTGGGATGTAGATCGGCCGGTAAATCGAGAGCCTGGCTTTCTGGCTCAGCTCCCTCTTCACCACAACAGATCGGCTCAGCGTCCGCATCACTGCAGATGCTGATCCAATCCGCCTGTCGATCTCCCGATCCCTCCTACCCTCACTCGTGAACAAGACCCCAAGATACTTAAACTCCTCCACTGGAGGTAGGACCTCTCCCCCGACCCGGAGTTGGCAAGCCACCCTTTTCCGGTCGAGAACCATGGTCTCAGATTTGGAGGTGCTGATCCTCATCCCAGCCGCTTCACATTCGGCCGCGAACCTACCCAGCAATAGCTGAAGGTCAGAGCTGGATGAAGCTAGGAGGACCACATCATCCGCAAAAAGCAGAGACGAGATTCTCCTGCCACCAAACTCGACACACTCCACACCACGGCTGTGCCTAGAAATTCTGTCCATAAAAGTGATGAACAGAACCGGTGACAAAGGGCAGCCCTGGCAGAGTCCAACCCTCACCGGGAACAGGTCCGAATTACTACTGGCTATGCGGACCAAACTCACGCTCCTCTGGTAAAGGGACTGAATGGTCCTTAACAAAAAGCCACCCACCCCATACTCGTGGAGTGTCCCCCACAGGGTGCCCCTGGGGACATGGTCATAAGCCTTCTCCAAATCCACAAAGCACATGTGGATTGGTTGGGCAAACTCCCATGCCCCCTCCATCACCCTTGCAAGGGTATAAAGCTGGTCCACACTTCCACGGCCAGGACGAAAACCACATTGCTCCTCCTCAATCTGAGATTCAACTATCGATCGGACCCTCCTCTCCAGTACCTTGGAGTAAACCTTTCCAGGGAGGCTAGTTCGAACATACCCTCAGGTCACCTTTCTTAAAGATGGGGACCTCCACCCCGGTCTGCCACTCCACAGGAACTGCCCCCGATGACCACGCAATGTTGCAGAGACGTGTCAACCACGACAGCCCTACAACATCCATAGCTTTGAGATACCCAGGGCGAATCTCATCTGCCCCCGGGGCTCTGCCACTGTGTAGTTGTTTGACTACCTCAGCAACTTCTGCCCCCGAGATTGGACAGTCCATCCCCAGGTCTCCCGACTCTGGTTCCTCCTCGGAATGTGCGTAGGTGGGATTGAGGAGCTCCTCAAAGTATTCCTTCCACCGTCCGACTATAGCCCCAGTTGACGTCAGCAGCTCCCCATCCCCCACTCACAACAGTGTGAGCGAGTTGCTGCCTTCCTCTCCTGAGGCGCCGGACAGTTTGCCAGAACCTCTTTGGAGCCGATCGATAGTCTTTCTCCATGGCCTCACCAAACTCCTCCCACGCCCGAGATTTTGCCTCGGCAACTGCCACTGCTGCACCCCGCTTGGCTATCCGGTACCTGTCTGCTGCCTCCGGAGACCCACAGACCAGCCACGCCCTGTAGGCCTCCTTCTTTAGCCTGACGGCTCCCCGAACCTCTGGTGTCCACCAGCGGGTACGGGGGTTGCCACCACGACTGGCACCGGCCACCTTGCGACCGCAGGTAGCAACAGCCGCCTCAACAATCGCATAGTGGAACAAGGCCCACTCGGAGTCAATGTCCCCCACTGCTCTCGGGATGCGGTCAAAGCTCTGCCGGAGGTGGGAGTTGAAGACCGTCTCGACAGGTTCTTCTGCCAGGCATTCCCAGCAGACCCTCACTATGCGTTTGGGTCTGCCAGGTCTACTCGGCATCTTCCCCTGCCATCTGATCCAACTCACCACCAGGTGGTGATCAGTTGACAGCTCTGCTCCTCTCTTCACTCGGGTGTCCAAAACATACGGCCGCAGGTCAGATGATACGACAACAAAGTCTATCATCGACCTGCGACCTAGGCTGCCCTGGTACCAAGTGTACCGATGGGCATCCTTATGTTCGAACATGGTGTTCGTTATGGCCAAACTGCGGTTTGCACAGAAGTCCAATAACAAAACACCACTCGAGTTCAGATCAGGTGGGCTGTTCCTCCCAATCACACCCCTCCAGGTCAAGCTGTCATTTCCCACGTGAGCATTGAAGTCCCCCAGCAGGACAATGGAGTCCCCTGATGGAGCACTATCTAGGACTCGTCCCAGGGCCTCCAGAAAGGGAGGGTACTCTGAACTGATATTTGGCCCATAAGCACAAACAGCAGTCAGGACCCGTTCCCCGGCCCGAAGGCGCAGGGAAGCTACCCTCGCGTCCCCCGGGGTAAACCCCAACACACAGACAGACAGTCTTGAGGCTATCAAAAAGCCAACCCCAGCCCTCTGCCTCTCACCCGGAGCAACTCCAGCAAAGGAAAGTGTCCAACCCCTCTCAAGGACTTGGGTTCCAGAGCCAATGCTATGTGTCGAGGTGAGTCCGACTATATCTAGCCGGTACCGCTCAACCTCTGCCACAAGCTCCTGCTCCTTCCCCGCCAGCGAGGTGACATTCCATGTCCCAAAAACCAATTTCCTTGTCCGGGGATTGGACAGCCAATGCTCCCGCCTTGGTCTGCCGCCCGATCCACAGTGCACCGGACCCTTCAATGTTCCTCCTGCGGGTGGTGGGTCCCAGTTGGATAAGCCCATGTATCCGGTTCGGGCTGGGCCCGGCCGGGCCCCATGGGCAAAAGCCCGGCCACCAGGTGCTCGCTCACGGGCCCCAACCCCAGGCCTGGCTCCAGGGTGGGACCCCGGTAACCCTCCGGGCCGGGTACTCCGACTCTTTGAATTTACATCCATGAAAGGTCCTTTAAACCGTTCTTTGTCTCACCCTTCACCTAAGACCAATTTGTCATGGGAGACCCTACCAGGGGCACAAAGTGACCCAGACAACATAGCTCCTAGGATCATTAGGGCACTCAAACTCCACCACGATAAGGTGACGGTTCAAGTAGGAGACATTCAAATAGCGACCGACTTTAATACAGCAGGCTTAGCTGGAGGGTGTGTGTAATGGATTGGGTGAGGATTGCATGGGACTTTAAAAAGCAGTCACTGGAAACGTTATATAACATTAATGGTGTCTTTGGACTTTTGAAGCAAAAACAAGGCTGAGGGTCATGTTGGTCACGTTCCAACTGCAGTAAAAGCTCTGAAGAAATTCTTTGAAGGACACAAGAAGGTCTTGCTGTTTAATTCGCAACTGATACTTTTGGACAAATACTCCAAAATCCCAAATCTGCACCCAAGATTTATGAAATTTATATAATTTCAGTTAACTACATAACTAGAAACACTTTGCAGCTGAGGCCTTAAATCGCAGAGGTAACCTGGAACTTCATTTAGTAATAATAAATGCTAACAAAATAAATAAAAAAGTGTACATTTTAATGCATAAACTGTATTAAAAAGTGTGAAGAAAACCAAAAGAGAACTATAGTCACTAGCTAAAACAGTTAACTAATCATTCTTTTGGAGTTAAGTTATAAAAAGTACTTTAGGAGTTGTGCTGACCTTTAAAGAGACTGGGCTACGCCTTTGGGTCTAGCTCACATTTCTAATGCAGACAGGAGCTAGAACATTTTGTTCTCATCAGTAAAAATACAGAATATTATCTGTGTAGTTTACTTTAATGTCAACATATTGTAGTAAATATGTGAACATGCATTATGGAAGAGGTACTTTCTGATAAGTGAACCTGTGACTTGAGGATATCAGGTTTCAGTTACATTTTGAAATAATAACTCTGTTAACTCAGTTTGATCTGTAGAACAGCTTCCGCACCTCTAAAAGGGCATGTACCCTGCAAAGTAAAACAGATCTTTGATCATTGAGTACATAAACACACTCATGTGTGTGAAAGGTAGGCTTGCTCAGCAGATTTTTAAGAGATAACTGTAGTAACTGACCTGAGGCTGTAGGAGTGCAGCTAAACCTGTAAAATGGAGGTGATCTACAGTGTTTTGGGCCTGGAGTGGATAGACTCTAGGAGTGTTTTAATATTTTTATGTGTCTTTCTGTTGCTGAGCGATATTTTGAAGAACAGAAAACCAAAAAACTTTCCTCCTGGACCACACGCTCTTCCTTTTATTGGAGATCTTCATCGTATCAGACCTTCCAGAATTCATCTGCAATTATCAGAGGTATATACAACCTTCCATAACTATAAGAAATAAATATAAACACAATGTAATTATTTACCAGGTTTATCTGTTGTTGTTTCTTTGTGTTTAACAAAAAATCTATTGGAGCTAAACAGGCTAGTCTCTTACTAAACAGTTCACATAGTTTATTCTTTGAAGATAAAGCCTTACAATACACGAGAGTTGGAAAACAGTTAACGGCAAGATAACTATCATTACATGAAGTACAGGACCACGAACATGGACCTTCCCCTAGATTACAGCAGGTAAAAGTTCAATGTCAAACAAAGGGGCCAGGTAGAACAAGACCATATTTTAAATCCTGAACCCCAAAATACTTTTTAAAATGTACCACATTTTTAAAGATTATTTTATTTTCTTAGTACTTAAAAGTTATCCTCAACATGATGGTATGTGGACAACAATGTAGTTAGTAAAATACATTGTGTAAGACAGGGATTCCCTAAGTGTGGTGCGCGCACCCCTAGGGGTGCGCGAGCTGCCGCTAGGGGGTGCGCGAGGTGAAAAGTGTAATGGCTGCGGCGCTCAGAGAAGTCTGTCAAAAGTCACCATTAGCGTAGCCAGAAACCCATTTGTGGGTGGGCCTAAGAAAATGTCAGTGGGCCCAATAAATGTAATTGAAAACAAGTATATTTTGCTTGTGTGTGTGTGTGTCCTCCGCATATGCCCTAGCTCAGGGGTCGGCAATCTGCGGCTCTGGAGCCGCATGCGGCTCCTCCATCCATCTGATGCGGCTCTCTCTGTGCTTGTAAAATAATGACTGGATATGTAAACAAAATGCTTTATATTTTACTGCATAAATTTTACATCTGTAAGCTAATTCTAAATGTAAAGATTGTCTGCGTAAACCTGAACAGGTCCAACCCGGTCTTACTGTGAGACCGGGTTGACGTGTCACGCTTGTGCGTAATCATAGGTGCATTCTGAGCTGAAGAGGATGTGAGATTCTGGGATTTTCCTCAGACAGGCTCCTGGATGTGACGCCACATTGGAGACAGGAACAAGCACTATTCAGCCAAAGTTTCATAATCAGGGAACATTTTCTAAGTGACAAGTCTCTCTGAGAGACAGGGTTTGGAAAACGCTCGCTTCAGTCGGAGGAATCTTCCCGCATGCGCTCTGGTTCTGCGACGCGCTCTAAGCCCCTCTCCACAACTTCAGCTCACTGTGCACCTTGTGTACACGCTGACAGTGAGCTGCGCTGAGCAGTGTCGAGCTCAGATGTTCAGAAGGAAATCTTTTCTTGAGTGATTTAGCAACATCTGCGATGTGCGAAATTAATAGTGTCAGTTTGTCTGCATGCGTCGGGGTAATTCTTTCTATTCTTTCTCTGTCAAAATAAACGGCCAAATACGGGAACTATCCGGTCAACACAACACAAGCCTTGCTTTTAACTGTTCTGTATTCTTGTGAAAATTGTTGCAAATTTAACTTGATTAACACCAGAGCCAGGCGCACTGCACCGTTATCTCCGTCACTGTAAATGAAGGAAAAACAAATTGATGAGATCCTTTTCTGACCTTCCCCACCTACAAAGTTTAATTACAACAATCAAATGTGACAGAGCCTGGATTTGTATTCTGAACAGTCTAAACATGTTTTAAAAAGAAACGTATGACAAAAGTGGCACCTGCTCAGTAAAACCACCAACAGGGTGAAAAATATCAAAATATTGTAGGCAGAGACGGGCTACAACTTCTGGATCCATTTTATATAAATTGTTTTATTGATTATCATCTTATGAAAGATAACTTTGAGGTACACGAGAGACCGGTACTGGCTGCTGTCACCTGTTGTGATTGGTTAAAGCAGCTCTCTGCTGTCTGAGGGTAGGCCCCGCCCACAACGTCACGGCTGCTGTGGCTCAGTGTTTTCTTTACTGTGGGAAACGGGTAATAATGGCACTTTGATGGGAACAGGTTGCCGACCCCTGGTTTAGCGTGACGTCTGATATATATTATATATAAATATATATATATATATATATAAATATATATATATATATATATATATGTATTTATATATATATATATATATATATATATATATATATATATATATACATCTGGCTATATATATATAAATATATATATATATATATATATGTATATATAGATAGATAGATAGATAGATAGATAGATAGATAGATAGATAGATAGATAGATAGATAGATAGATAGATAGATAGATAGATAGATAGATAGATAGATAGATAGATAGATAGATAGATAGATAGATAGATAGATAGATAGATAGATGGATAGATAGATAGATAGCCATGCCCTGATGTGGGGGCTGGGGTGTGCGTCGACATGGTCGGGACATAGAAGGGGGTGCCCGGCTAAATACGTTTGGGAACCACTGGTGTAAGACACTGCAAACATCAAAAACTTTTCGTTAAGCCAATTATGGCAATGATTAATATGTACCCATTGAAGTTTGCTGCACTATTTACTCCATAAAAAGAAATAAATCATTCATCTGCGTTAGCATTTAATAACAAAAGGCTTGTTCTACTTCTGTGTTACTCAGATCTACCTTTAGCAGTTTACCAGTGCAGTTTGAACCAAGTACCAGGGTTTTAGAAATGGTACAGGGAAGGGAGATTCCGAAAATATTATTATTATCAATTCCTTTATTTCCATCCAAAGTCAAAACACAGAAATCAAAATGAACAAGTCCCATTCACAGGGCAAAAGATAGATCTAAAACCTAAATATGGTCAAAAACATTAATCCCTAAAATGATAAAAGCTTTAAGACTGAACACAAAGAAGAAATTCAAACTGGAAATATGCTGCAGCAAAGGACAGGGTTTGAATACACACACGGGACATTAGCGACACACTTCAGGAAGCTATCAAAACAGAAAACAATAACTAAACAATAAGTTAATGGTCTGTATTTGTACATCACCTTCTGAGTTCTACAACCCCCCAAGGTGCTTCACAACACAATCAGTCATCCACTAATTCACACACATATTCACACACCAGTGGGGATGAGCTACATTGTAGCCACAGCTGTCCTGGGCCGCTCTGAAAGAGGCAAGGCTGTCGAACACAGGCGCCACTGGTCCCTCCAAACACCACCAGCAGGCAATATGGGTAAAGTGTCTTGCCAAAGGACACAACAGCAGCGTTCTTTGCTGTGAGTGGGGATCAGTGCTACAAACCTCTGATTACCGGACAACCCACTTTCCCTCCTGAGCTACTGCTGCCCCAGAATCTACAAAATAAAACAGGAGGTGCATTAACAGAACAAACCAAGGGAAGGATATGACATGAAGGAAGGTGCACTTGGAAAAAACGTAATGTGGCTTTGTTAAAAAAAAAAAAAGAATTTACTTTCTGTGTTCAGTTTGCAGAGAAATATGGAAACATTTTCAGCCTTCACCTGTTTGGTGAACGGGCAGTGATCATTAATGGCTACAAACAGGTGAGAGAAGCGCTGGTCCAACAAGGAGAAGACTTCATCGACAGACCCGCCATACCACTCTTCTCAGAATTTTTTATGAACAAAGGTATTTGTTGCTTTTTGTTTCTAAAACTCCTTATATTTGTATTATTATGTGTCTGTTTAACTTTATTCTCTTGTACCCATTGTTTTAAAGTCTTTCTTTCAGAAAAAATTGTGGGAATATTTTGTGTTTCTCTTTATGAAGGGATACTTTGCAACTTCTTCATATTTTTAAATCATTTTCTTGAGCCAGTATGTAATAAAATGACTCTTTACAGGGTTAATGAAAGGTCACCCAGCCCCCATTGCCTCCTGTGGCCAGAATATTCGACTTGTATAGTAAGAGTTTCAGGTCCAGTCTGTTGGGACATGAGGGGGTGGGGAGCTAACATAGCTGGCACTGCACTCTGGTTCCAGCTAGCCTGGCCTGCCGGACTCGCCACCTCTGCCTATTCTACACAGAATACACTGTCCAGGGGCGGCGTTAGGCCTGGCTATTTGGGCTCAAGCCCCAAATGTTTTATGAAAAGACTAGTGCGTGTTACGTGTGTGTGCGCGCACGTGCTTGTGCGTGCGTGTGTTAAGCCCCAGATATTCTTCAGTCCTAAATCCGCCCCCTGACACTGTCATGCATGTTTTAGATCATGAACACAGCTGATTTGTTTAATTTAGTGATTAATCAATTCTGTAGACACTAACAAAAGCTGGGAGATAGTTCAGCTGTTAGATTAAGGTGTTAAAAAGACGAACACACAGCAACGACATAAGTTTTGCTTTTGATTCTACAAATGGACACTAGAGGGTGCTAAAAACAAGCCAAAACTGCCTAATCTACCTTTAACAGGCATTATCAGACCAACAGGTAAAAGGTGAAATTGGTTAATTAAGCAACAGCAATTAAGACAGAAATGAAATTTCTCTCCCAACCAACAGTTTGCCTTTAGTGGTTCTCTCTTGAATACCCTCCAATCAACTAAAATTCTTCCTAAAAATAATAATTTACACATCACGGTGACTCGTATTTTCCCAGTCTAATTTAGAAAAGCTTGAGAGATTTGTTTACGCTAAGCATTGTGGGAGCTATTTATTTATTTATGAATTTTTAGATAAGTTGAGTTAATGCTGATTTCTTTTCCCAAAGGCCTTGTAATGTCTAATGGTTACCCATGGAAGGCTCAGAGGAGATTTGCTCTTCATACCCTAAGAAACTTTGGTCTGGGCAAGAAAAACATGGAAGTGTACATCCAGCAGGAGTGTCAATACCTCACAGAGGCATTGGCTAACCAGCAAGGTAGAAAATATACAATTAAATCATCATGAAATATCTGTTTTCTTAGTTAATGTATGAGGTCATTCAGTTTAACTGCACACATTGAAAGCCGAGAGTACATTTTCCTGTGGTTTACCGTCCATTTTTATAGATGCGAGATCCTGTTTTTATTTTGTTCTATCTGCAGTTTGTCCTTTTTAAATTTGGCAGGAAATTCTATTAATGGACAGAAACTCATAAACAACGCTGTGTCCAACATCATCTGCTGTTTGGTGTTTGGGAGTCGATTTGAGTACAATGACAAGCAGTACCAGTCTATTCTCCAGAGCTTTAATGATATTATACGCTTACAGGGAGGATTGGCAGTTCAGGTAAGACTTGTACTTAAACAGAACATTTATTCCTTAAAATACAATTCAAACCTGGAACTGTCTCCATGCATGGTCTGCTGTTTTTTAATAGCGGCATTGTATAGGTTTTTGTCCTTGACAGCAGCTATACAAGTCACATTACACTAAGCTGACCCAAAATCAAATAAAATACATCCATGTTGTTTTATGTAAGCAAGGTGTGTCCATACTTGTCTCTCACAAGAATGGTCTCAGGTGTCTTTGACTCATTACCTTGGGCTGTGGTTGGTGCTAAATGCACCATGAATAAATGATTACCATGTGCTTTTCAGCAAAAATTGTTATTGTCATATATCCTTGTTATTTGGAGCTGCCATAACAAGACATAACATGGTTCTGAAAAAAGGTTTAAAGGTTTGTTTTCTTCTCTCTACAGCTTTTCAACACAGCTCCCTCACTCATGAGATGGCTGCCTGGATCTCATAAGGAAATATTCATTCTGATACAGAAGATAATTGATTTTGTTGAGAGTAAGATCAAAGAACACAAGGAGGACCTGGACCCTTCATCTCCAAGAGACTACATAGACTCCTTCCTCATTGAGATGGGAGAGGTGAGCTGGTTGTTTATGTATTAATTAAATACATTTACATATTGACATGTTGGTCTTGTATGTCTTTCATAGAAAGAGGACAAAGATTCTGGTTTTGAGCTCAGTAATCTGAGTATTTGCACTCTTGATCTGTTTGGTGCTGGAACCGAAACGACCACAACGACTTTACACTGGGGGCTGCTTTACATGATCTACTACCCTCATATACAAGGTGTGTGTGTGTGTGTGTGTGTGTGTGTGTGTGTGTGTGTGTGTGTGTGTGTGTGTGTGTGTGTGTGTGTGTGTGTGTGTGTGTGTGTGTCTGTGTGTGTGTGTGTGTGTGTGTGTGTGTGTGTCAGGACCACTCGCTTGCTGGCACGCACATGCAAACACAGTGTTTGCATGTTCGTGCCAGCAAGTGTGATCCTAACTTTATTTTTCTGAAATTCTTTATCAAATAAATTATTATTTGAAATAGAAATAAGCTACTGAAGGACACAGACCTATATCTTGTCCTGTTTCTTGCTTTGTGTTCAGAGCAAGTCCAGGCTGAGATCGATGCAGTGATTGGTCCATCTAGGCAGCCCTCTATGACTGACAGAGAAAACATGCCGTACACTGATGCAGTCATCCATGAGATACAGAGGATGGGAAACATTGTTCCACTCGGCGTGGCTCGTATGGCAAACAAAGACACAACCCTGGATAAATACACAATCCCAAAGGTACAGCAATCCACAAACAATATCCTCAAACGTATAACCAGAAGTCAGTCAGCATCTAGAACAGAACAGAGAGAAGACAAAGATCTTTGACAGCACAATTGGAAGTTGAATTATAATATTTTATAGATTTGCTTCCTGGTTGGGTCCAGTGGCAGCGGGTGAAAAATATTCTTGATCCTGTCAAGAAAGGGGGAGAGAGAAGAAAGAGGTGAGGGAGGGGTGGTCACAAAAATAAACAAAATGATGAACAAGAATCTGCTTCTAGACCTGCATAAAGGGAGAGAAGGAAAAAGGGGGACACACAAAAATACAAGACCAAAACATCACTGCAACAACAACATGAGGATATTTCTAAGTAACCATTTTTGTTGAGAAAAGCTCCAACCGACCTCCTTAGAGGCGCAGAGGATTACCCCGAGGACCGCAACAATCAGCCGCCAGAGCCCCGGGAGAAAACAATGGCAAGCCCCCAGGCCCGCCCGCAGCTGCCCACCCTCGAGCTGGCTGAACACAGCGGCCTGGGACCCAAGGGCGGCCAACCCCACCGGGAACCCGACAGAGCCCAGGGATCCTGCCCCACCAGGGAACTACCGGAAACGACCCGACAGATCCCAAAATACTTCCCGCCCTCGACACGAGAGCTGCGGATATGCAGGCAGACCAACGGACCACCCAGCAGCAGAAAATGTGGCAGGGGGAGGGTAGGCGAAGAAGTTGTAGCGCCACACCCAGGAGAGGGGAAGTGTTGGGTATTTTAACCTAGAATGAACCACACCAGAGAAAATATTAGAAGTCATTTAACACTGCAGTGGAGAGAGAACCAGGCAGAGGATGTGTCGATAGGAATTCTACCCAGCTCTCTCTGACTCTTCCTCTCTTCACCACAGACTTTTTTTAAACATAGCGGGGTAACAAAGGCAATCAATCACTAGACACCACACCTCCTACACTAGCCAATAACAGAGCTGTTGCTAGGCTCAGGCCATGTCTTCCCAAAGAGGAAGTATCCATTTATGAAGTTGCTTGCTGGCAGCCAGAAACTGAGTCCCTGTTGCCGGGCAGATTAAAAAGGCGCAACATAACCACAGCTGGACTGAGAACTGAGACTTGCCTTAAAACATGAACACTTAAAAAGAACATTAAAACAGTGAAATATATAAAAACTTTAACAGGAAGAGTCCAAGACCTCATCTGATATACACATTCACACACAAACACAGTCGCACACTCCCTCCTTCATGCTCACACATGCACATACAACCTAATGACTTACAATAATGTACGTCATACAACCACAACACACCCTACTCACTCTGGTCCCGGTACTGCTGCACAGAGGGCACAACCATTCCCGGACACCAGAGCTAGCCCCGTTCTGCTGGGTTAATGGTGAGCAGATACCCCCGCCCAACGCAGAGCAAAGCGACACACCACCTCATACCCCAGCCAGACAACCAGCTCCCATTCCTAGCCTCCAGCCGTGGACAGCTAACCGAGAACGGTTAGTTACCACTATTTTCTAATTCCGCTTGTTATGTGCCATGGATTTCACATACAATGTCCATGAATTTTAAGACACATTTTGATACAAAGAAAGTGCTTATTTTTGAACGGGGGGAAGATGTTATTTTAGGTTTTGTGTGAAAATAAGTCCAGAACTATAAATTTGCATCACTAAAGTGATGACACCTAACCAGCTATGCAGGAAAAATGGCTGTTAGTCCATCAAATTTCAAATCCTTCTTTCAGGAGGAAAGAACCACCATAAATCTGGCCATGTGGTAAGTAGCAGCTACCCTAGAGGAGGGAGATTATGTGGTGACGTCATATATGCGACGTACCAATGTCTGGTTTGTAGTCGTGCTAATTACAAACTTTTAGAAGCTGATAAATCTTAAAGTACGTGACAGGTGTGGTCGAAACACACATCATCGCTTTTCATTTAAATTGAAGAACAACATGTGTGTGATCCAGGGCGTAAGGCAAAGCGAATTTAAAAATAGCTCTTTTAGCCTCGTTGATTTGCTTTCATTTTTTTGTTCTTCCGGGGACCCATGAGCCGACTGGAAAGGGAGGAGACCAACCCCTACTGCACACTGGAATCTAAAGCAGCACAGAACAGCAGCAAAACGACACCGCTTCTAATAGAATCCATTATAAACTATGGAGTGTAACAAACCAGCCATGACGCAGCAATTTTCAGACGCTTCCCAGAAGCTAAAGATAAGATTAGGTTCTATTTTTCCACGAGCCTCTTCTGGGATGTGTCAATAACCGCAGTTAACATAAGGCTAGACAGGAAATCACACACGGTTTCAATGTAAAATCCACGGTAATTTTCAAAACAAAAGTATTGCAGTGATGCTATTTCATATACACTTACGCGTGACCTAATGGTCTATTTACTCAGCATCATTCCAGAAGGGTAGCAGTGTATTTTCATGGCTTTATTCCTGTCGGTGGAGAGGAACAACATCATATATGACATCAAACAGTGATATAAAACATGATTTCCTTCTTTTTGGTTTAATGGCAAATTGCACAAACAAACCGCAACATTTGAAGTCTTGAGGGATCGTGTGATCTCGCGAGGAGGTTGGCAGTAGTCTTGAGAGATTTTGTGATCTTGTGAGTCGAGTGAGGAGCATGACAGAGAAGCCGCTTTGCTGCTGAGACTCTCCCGGTGTACACTTGAGTGCTGTGACTGCCACGAGTAAACCTTTCCGCTGGCGTTCCGTACTGCTTTTGCTTCCAGTGTGCAGTAGGCGTAAGGTTCCCTATTAAATACATGATCATGGTTAACTGGCTTCATTCTTGGAGCACATCCTGTTGCTGAACCTAGACCTGACCAACTGCAGCAACCCCAGATCATAGCACTGCCCCCACAGGCTTGTACAGTAGGCACTAGATATGATGGGTGCATCGCTTCATCTGCCTCTCTTCTTACCCTGATGCACCATCACTCTGTAACAGGGTCCATGTGGAGAGTTTTCAATAATGCATTGGACAGTTCTTAACCCAGTTTTAATCATTTCTACAATCTCCTTAGATGTTTTCTCTGATTGATTTATGCTAATGATCTGACCCTTCTCTAACAGACCAATATATTTTCCACGACCACCAGATGTGACTTTCCACGTGGTTGTTTAAAAAATCAGAAGCAACTCATTGCACCAGTTACACACACACACACACACATATATATATATATATATATATATATATATATATATATATATATATATATATATATATATATATATATATATATATATATATATGTAACCCTTGTTTCGGTTATTAACCCTACAAGAAGGATATCAAATGATCTGGGCCTGGGTCTGGGCTCGTGATAAGGAGTTACAGCTTTGTATCCTACTTTATGCCACTAATGTTCTTTACCCCGTAATATGACCTATTTTAACAAGGACCACCACAACTGTATTGAAAATTCAAAAGTTTTTCAAATATTTATTTATAAACAGGAAATAAAATTTAAGGGGATCTCAAAACAAAATTACACCAAATGACATCCAGTTCAGTACTTTTGTGTGAATAGAGAATTTGCCAAAATTAAACACTTTCATGAGGTTTTACACCCAAAACATACCAAATATTTCTATTTAAATAAATTTTGAACTCACACTATCCTCGTGGGCCCACACACACTCTTTCACACACACACACACACACACACACACACACACACACACACACACACACACACAACACCTCCTAACCTTCGATGCAGGCCTGTTTGTTGGAAATTGAGTGCGGTGGGGCCTAAAAACTGTAATGGCCGCTTCCCTCAGGAACTGTGCATAAAAACAAAGGCACGTGCATTAAAGGTGGCTGTACTCACAAAGTCCAGGGTTATGGCAGCATGGGGAAAGGGAATTTTGGATGGGCTGTTCCACTTAGGGTAAAGGCAACCGGTGATCACAGATGGAATGTCAACCGCAGGACCTCCACAGCAGCGAACAGGCATGGAACACGCAGCAGGGCCGATGGATGGTAAACCGTCTCTCTCTCATTTCTCCAACCTCCGTCTCCTCGTAGAGCATATTATTCAAATTTAGCCAGCTTATCAAACACTATCTCTTGATGAATTAGCATTAGCTTTGCCGTAAATGTAGAAATTACACTATGCAAAGGCTACAATATGCAGGCTCATTTACTCTGAATGTTACCGCTTAATTAGCAGGTCGCTAACCACATAGCACATCCCGTCTTTTAACTACAAAGGTTAGTCATAGCATATTTCAGGCATTTACAATCATATTCACCTCTTGCAGGTCACAATTGAAGCTTATATCAGGACCACGATTAGTCGACCTTCTTGAACAAACCTCAACGTCTCCCACACTCAACGCCTCCTCCGTTTGCTCTCGATAACGTCCATCTCTTCAAGTCTGGCTCGCTACTCCCACACTAACTGCCGTTCTTAGTCGCGCCCCTTACCAAAGGAACAGGGCTCTGATTAGCTCGTGAGAACTAATACAACCACTGGAAATACAGAAATTGAGTGATTGACAAATGACCGTAAACAAGTCAGGTTACACACAACAGCTCTTTTTTTTTTAACATTGAACATTATGAACCAAGTTATTATCTTTAAGGCTCCGTACCGGAATAAAGTATTTTTTTTTTTATTGTTTACAGAGCTACACTGCTATATATATATATATATATATATATGTATACAGTGGGGCAAAAAAGTATTTAGTCAGCCACCGATTGTGCAAGCTCTCCCACTTAAAATGATGACAGAGGTCAGTAATTTACATCATAGGTACACTTCAACTGTGAGAGACAGAATGTGAAAAAAAAAATACTTTTTTGCCCCACTGTATATATATATATATATATATATATATATATATATATATATATATATATACATATATATATATATATATATATATATATATGTATATATATATACACATATACATATATATATATATATATATATACATTTACATATATATATATATATATATATATATATATATATATATATATATATATATAGATATATAGATATATATATATATATACATGGGTGGTCTCATCCTTGGGGGAGCTTCTGGGTTCTGTTAAAGCGCTTGAAAGCCCAACTGGAGTGTTTGTTTCCCATGCCACCAAAGTGGAAACACCAAACGGAGAACACTGCAGAGGAATGGCATGCATGGGTCTCATCCACGAAGGAAGCCTCTTCTAAAGCCCATGCACATAAAAGCATGCCTAGGATTTGCTAGGGCCCATGCTGACAGAGATGAAGACTATTTGGACTCTATACTCTGGAGTGACGAGATCACTGTTTTTGAAACTAATGGTTTCAAACCTGTATGGCCTACATGGCCCAAGTTGTGGGCATGAATATATTTTTATGCTCCTGTAATAGATTGGTAACCTGTCTGGCTTTTATCCTGCTTCTCAACTAATGACTGCTGGAGAGCTCTCTGTGGTCCTGGAAAGAATCAAAAGGGAATTGAAATTCAATGGATGAACATTTGTTTACTCTTTTATTCATTCTGTACTCCATCAGGGCACCATGATAATACCCACACTTAACTCTGTCCTACATGATGAGACAGAGTGGGAGACTCCTCACACCTTCAACCCTCAACACTTTTTGGACCAGGATGGTAAATTTAGGAAGAGAGATGCTTTCATGCCCTTCTCTGCAGGTCAGTTGCTTGTTTAAGTTATTAAAACACTATTAGTTTTATTATACTTATTTTCACACAGTGACAATTATTACAGATGAAATGTATTTATATTAGAAATAGAAAAAATAACTTTACTGTTAAGATTGTGCCTTGATATGTGGATAAATTAATGAACTTTTAAGAGAAAACAATTTTTTTAAAGAATTTCAAACCTGAAGGATTTAGGAGAGGATTTAAATCGGAAAAGGGTAGAATGCCTTCTCTGGGTCAGGGACTAGGTCCTGCCCCAAGTGGAGGAGTTTAGGTATCTCTGGGTCTTGTTCATGAGTGAGGGAAAGATGGAGCGCGAGATCGATAGACGGATTGGTGCTGTGTCTGCAGTGATGCGAGCGTTGTACTGGTCTGTCGTGGTGACGAGAGAGCTGAGCCAAAAGGCAAAGCTCTTGGTTTACTGGTCGACCTACGTTCCAACCCTCACCTGTGGTCACGAGCTTTGGGTAGTGACCGAAAGAACTAGATCGCGAGTACAAGTGGCCAAAAAGAGTTTTCCCCAGGGTGAAGGGCTCTCCCTTAGCGATAGAGTGAGAAGCTCAGTCATCCGGGAGGGGCTCAGAGTATACCCGCTGCTCCTCTACGTCGAGAGGCGCCAGTTGAGGTGGCTCAGACATCTGGTCAGGATGCCTCCTGGAAGCCTCACTGGTGAGGTTTTCCAGGCACGTCCAACTGGAAGGAGACCCAAGGGAAGACCCAGGACACATTGGAGGGACTATGTCTCTCACCTGGCCAGGGAACGCCTTGGGATTCCCCCAGAAAATCTGGCCCAAGTAGCTGGAAAGAAGCAAGTCTGGGTGTCTCGGCTTAGGCTACTGCCCCGCGACCCAACTCTGGATAAGCGGATGAAAAGATGGATGGATGGATGGATGGATGGATGGATGGATGGACGGATTTAGGAGAGTTGTCTGTTCAAAGTACATAACTAACTATGTATGATCCTAAAACATTTATACCAGGCAATGTTCTTCAATGCCAGACAGAAATTCCAAAGGAACCTCTCTCTGCTGTTTTTTTCATACAGGAAGTGCCTCTTCTGAGAGCTTTCCGCTGCCAAAATAAAGTTAGAGACTAATATTTGCATGTTAATTCTTCCAAAAAAGCATTTTACAAAAGAATTAAAGGTGTGCATTTGTTCTCAAATTTAAAATAATCTGAATTTGTGCATAAAGAATAATGTCTGAACAGAAACGAGAATGTGTGATTGTAAACAGCTGATTTTTCACAGCAATAAACCGATCTGTTCAAAAATGATTCAAGCAGCAGAACACAAGAAGGAGTTATAAGATATAAGTTATAAGATATTAAGTAAAAAAGAAATCACACATTGACCATTTTCCAAGTGGGGGTTTGGACACATTTTAAGAGTTTTTAGAAAGCACAATGAAAACATCAGATGAGCCTTGTATTAGTACACATAAAAGTCTGCTTAATCTTACTTTTTACAGGACATTAGGGTAGCCTGGGAGGATGGTAAATAATTGTAAATTGAGTGATCAAACCTAATGAACTGTTTATTCTCAGGTAAGCGTGTGTGTCTGGGGGAACAGCTGGCCAAGATGGAGTTATTCCTGTTCTTCACCTCCCTCCTTCAGAGGTTTTCCTTCTCAGCTCCAGAAGGAGAGCAGCCCAGTCTGGAGTTCAGACTGGGAGGAACTCGTTGTCCCAAACCTTACCGCCTCTGTGTGGTACAACGCTGAGCCATCAGTTGTCCAAGAATGAGCACAATTACACTGAAAAAAAATTATAAACACTTTTGATTTTGTTCCTATTTTTTGTGAACTCAAAGATCTGAAACATTTCACAAAAAACATCAAGTACCGTTCTCAAATCTGTGTTAATGAGCACTTCATTTTTTCCGAGATGATCCATCCCACCTCACGGGTGAGTCATGTCAAGGTGCTGATTAGACAGCATGAATTTTGCACAGGTGTGCTTCAGACTGGCCACAATACTCAGTTTTATTTGTGTGACTTAAGATTAAATTTACAAAATTTACATCTTTTGCTTTTATGGCATTCAAAGTAAAGTGGCTGAATGTGTTATCTTAAAAGTGTCATGGTAAATCACTAATGCCTCTAAATCCAAGGAAAGAAACTCTGTGGGAAAAATCTATGTGCTCACTTTTAATATTAATTTTTCTATACGTTTTGTAAATTGTAATCTGTGTGGATTTAATATTTAGTTATATTCTATAATTGTAATGTCACTGATAAAGTTTGCTTAAATTATAATACCTTAGTAACTTATGATTTATTATTTACTATACAGTAAGAAAGTAAGAACTGCCAAACTGAGCTGTTGTGTGCTTCCTAACCTCAGTGAGAGTACAGAGAAGAGGGAAAACAACCAATATCCACAGCCATTTTGGACATTTGACAGAGAGAACATATGTGTAGACATGAATTCCCACTATTAAAAATAAAATGTTCCTTTGGAAGTTGTCCCACTTTGTTCAAAGTGATTTTATATGCTGAATAAATATCCCATTACCTGACTCTGTGTTGTGTGAATATGGAAGTCACTAAGAAATCCACAGCAAGCTTTTAACATTACATAGCATCAATGAAGGTGTTTTCTGTGACTGATCAATGATGAGGCTTTCAAAATGTGCTACATGTGAGGGTTGATGAGCGCCTTGAAGGCCGCTCTCGTGATCTGCCTGTATCTGGTTTTGTTCTACACGATTGTGTGTGTAACAATGGACGGGTTGGACTGTGGAGACAAATTTCTATGCTTCAGGACGCTGGGGCATTGACAATAAAGTTGATTCTGATTCTGATAAAATGCAGAAAGTAATGTTTTTTTGTCAGGTGTGTACTTTAAGTGGCCCAAAATCTATGAATATCTGACCTTTGTTGCATGTGATCCACTTCCTTCTGTAATCTGAGCTGGGTTACTTGATTACACACCTGAGGATAAGAAAGGCTTAATGTGAGCTAACAGTTAGTTCATGATTAGTGTGACCAAACTCCGTCTAGCTGACATCACTCAAAGACAAAGAATACTTATAACTGTCATGATGGGTGGTAATTTCTTAACCCACATGAAGAATCACTCAGGGATAGGGTAAGAGATGATAATAAAATCTTTATTTTATAAAGAAAACAAAGCAAAAACTGAGGGCGCTGATCCAAACGGGACAGGAAACAAGGCAACTCCGACTCTAAGAAGAACGGTGAGAGTGATTAGAAACTGAGAACCAGGAGATGAATAATCATGAGAGGAACGGGCTTACTGAGTTGAGCAGGACGAGGGGCAGGAGGGAGAGGCAAGTCAGGTTGATGCAGGGAGGAGATGGTCGCTGGAGGTGATGCTGGATCCAGGAAGGCAGGTGAGCGGTGGAGAGCAGGAGGCCAGGGAAGCTGAACGACGCTTGTGATAAATCACACCTCAGGCAGGTGGAGGGAATCCAGGGCTGGTACAGACAAGAATGCAGAGCTGGGTTAGTTCAGGTAAACGAGTCTTAAAGTCAAGGCACAGATAAGGACATGGCTAGATGTACCCAACAGTAGAGTATCAACCGGCATTGAGGTATGGCAGCACCGCTCCTTAAATCCTCTGGCCAGGCTGATGGCAATTAGCTGCAGCTGCTGCTGCTGCTCCCCAACACACTCACCTGCAAACATTGAAGGGGAAATAGCAGCAGAAGCAGAGAGAAGGCAGAACCATGACAATAACTCTTGAAGTCATTTATTAAAAACACATGTGTGCAACAAACTCAAGTATTTCAGTGCAAAAATAAACAATTCACTTTTCACATGTGCATGATATGCTTTGTGCATAAAAAGTTCACTTCTTTTTATCAGCTAATGTGTTCAGTGCAGACAAGAGACCCTCCATCAAATGCTTCTGCTGGTGGCTGCTTTGTCCTGCTGAGCTGTACGTTCTTTAGACTCCCACTCTGTCAGCTCACAGAAGAACTGCATCATGGTATTAAAGCATTCAGCGTCTGACCCACCCAAGCATCTCCTGCACTAGCACAGATTCGAGAGTGAGACGCCTTGCAAAAATCAAGCCTATGCTGTCGAGAGCCCACCTGGAGCGGGTATTGCATGCCTTTGTAATTTCTAGGCTTGATTACTGCAGCTCTCTCTATGCAGGGTTGTGTCAGTCATCACTGCGTCGCCTACAGGTTGTGCAGAACAGCGCAGCCAGGTTCCTGACTGGGACCAGGAAACGGGACCACATCAGTCCGGTTCTGGCCTCCCTGCACTGGCTTCCGGTTTGCTATCTCTCACAATTCAAAATCCTCGTCTTTGTTTTTAATTTCTTCCAGGGTGGTGGTCCCCCCTATCTAGCCACACTCCTGAACAGACACTCCCCATCACGCGCTCTGCGCTCCTCTGACCAAGGCCTGCTCGTTGTCCCTCGTTCTAGGTGTCGTACTCGCGGTAACCGGGCTTTCTCAGTCCTAGCACCGTCACTATGGAACCAGTTGACACCCTCAGTTAGGCTGTCCCCATCTCTGCCAGTCTTTAAGAGTCGCCTAAAAACACACCTCCTCCGCTTGGCGTTTCCAGAACATGTTTGATTTTGGCCCTCTTTTATGTTGAATTTATTTCACAGTTTTCATTGGTTCACTCTATCCATTGTTTTACACATTTGTCCTGTACCAGAATGTTTCACCTATTTTGTAATTTGTATTTTGTAATTTGAATTGCTTTTATTTTTGATTTATGCAATATATTTACCTTCAACTGAACCATGTTCAGCGACTTGGGCTTCCTGACAGGGTTGCGGAAGGCGCTTTGTAAATAAAGCTTTGATTGATTGATTGATAGCCAGATGTGTGTCACCCCTTTTTCTCTTTCCTGGAAAAAAACATGGATGGTGGAGACAGAATTAACACACAACAAGTGCCATGTGATACACTAAAGTTTTAGAGTACTTCATGTGTCCTGCTGCTGACATATTTTATGGAGATGCAGATACAACAGGACTTGGCACCTACACACATTGCCAAAGCAACCAGTACCATTGGTTTAAAGACCATGGTATCCCTGTTACTGATAGGCTAGCAAACTCTCCAGACCTTAACCACATCAAAAATCGATGTGGTATTGTGAAGAGGATGATGCAATACGTCAGACCCAACACTTCAGAAGAGCTGAAGGCCACCATTAGGGCTCTCATAACACCTGAGCAGTGCCGATCGACTATGAGGGAGGCGGGGCAAAGAGTCCAGCCAAATGTGAGTTGCTTCACAGTTGCCTCCATCATCAGATAGTGAGAATTAGTAAGAAGTAACTCTTTGTAAGATTTGGAATAAATAATAAGAATGTCAATTAAATCAATGTAATAGGGAGCCTAAGTCTCCTCATGGGTCCCCCGAAGAATTAAAAAAAGAATGCAAGTCAACGGGGCTAAATGAGCTTTTTTCTAATCCGTTTTGCCTTACGCGCTGTGGACCAAACATATGTTGTACTGCAATTTGAAGGAAAAGCAATGATGGTGTTTCGACCACGCCAGTCATGTACTTAGAGATTTATCAGCTTCTAAAAGTTTGTAATTAGCATGACTACAAACCAGACATTGCTCAGACATTGCTTCGTCGCATATGTGAAGTCACCACAGAATCCCCTCTGTCTTAGGGTAGCTGCTACTTGGCCAGATTTATGGTGGCTCTTTTCTCCTGTGAGAAGGCTGTGAAGTTTGCTGAACTCACAGCCACTTTCCCTCAATTTTCTCTGTGTCTGGTTCGATGACGTCACTTTCGCGAAGCGCATTTGTAGTCCTGGACTTATTTTCACACAAAACCTAAAATAGCGCCCCCACCTCTTCCAAAATAAGTGCTTTCTTGGCATCAAAATGCTTCTTTAAAATTCACAGACATCATATGTGAAATCCATGGCACAAAAGAAACAGAATTAGAAAATAGCATTTTTTGCCCCTTTGACTAGCATCCATTTCTTTCTTCTTCTGGGGACCCATGGTCTGGAAGTAGATGGGCGTAACTTAGGCTCCCTAGTGTATTATTCATTCTGTGAAGTCTAATTTTTTTATAGGCCCTCCCCAGACCTGGTCTGATTCCTGTCTACAGTCTTTACATACTTGGTTTTTCAACCTGGCACGGCATAAATCACAACAAAAGAACTAAACGTTTCACAAAATTCTATCTTTTTTTTTCTAAATTACCACTTAAAGAAAAAAAATTAAAGATTTTTTTATAACATTTATTTTATAATATAGAAAAGACTCAACTTTTTACTTTAAAAGGTCTAACTTATGATTTATGTCTCTGTAGCATTTTAGACATTTGGTTTGAAAGCACATTGAATGACATTTTATTTTGAAATCCATTTGAGTGAGACTTTGACCTGAGCACAGCAGTGTTATCTTTTCTGCCTTGCCTATATGGTTTTGTAATATCTTGTCCACATATATTTGCTCTGAGGCTGAAAGAAGACAAATCAGCAGAATTAGTTTAAGAAATGGAAATAATTTATGCTGTTCTTGGCCTGGAGTGGTTGGATATCAGAAGTCTTTTAGTTTTCTTTTGCATTTTTCTTCTACTGACTGCTGTTATGAGGAACAAAGTTCCAAGAAACTTTCCACCAGGGCCATGGTCTCTTCCTTTCATCGGGGACCTACATCGAATCGATGCTTCAAGAATTCACCTGCAGTTCAAAGAGGTAGGTTTCTGTAATTAGTAATAACAAGAATTAATTTTATTATCAGTTATAAAAAAAATCTAATGGTTTACAAATATATATATATATATATTTTTTTTTGTTAGATATTAGATATTGACCTATACTTAAAAGACAGACTCCAGCACTTTGTTCAGTATGGGTTCGGCAGGTTGCTTTAAAACACAATCATTCACTCATTCACACATTCAGACTCTACAATGTAGCCACAGATGCCCTTGGGCTCACTGACAAAAGCAAGGCTACACTGGTGCCACTGGTTCCTGCACACCACAAATAGGCAATGTGGGTTAAGTGTCTTGCCCAAGGAAACAACAACAGTGATAATGAACCAGCAACCATCCAATTACGAGGTGGACACTTAACTCCTCTGTCATCATCGCCTTTGTAAGCATTGGCAAGGTCAGCTGCGAAGTGCACCAAATTTGGGCTTTAGTTGTAAAACTTGGATACACATTATGTCTTTTTTTCTTTTAGTTGGTTTCTCAGTTCCCAAATGTTCTCTTGGTGTAAAACAAAAAGATCATTCTGCTATCTGTGTTCAGTTTGCAGAGAAGTATGGGAACATTTTCAGCATTTGTCTCTTCGGCGGAAGGATTGTTGTCATCAATGGGTACAAACTTGTGAGAGAAGCTCTGGTCCAAAATGGAGAACACTTCATAGATCGTCCCAGTGTCCCACTGTTTGAAGACTTAATAGGAAATAAAGGTGGTGTATTTGTATTTTTAATCAGAAATAATTAGGAGTTTCTAATGCAAGCAGCATGTTCTATCCAGATGTATTGAGTAGATATTAACACAAATCTATTTTATATTATATCAACCAATGATTACATTATAAAACTTTTGTTTTCAAAAGGTCTTGTAGGCTCCAGTGGGTATCCTTGGAAACAACAAAGAAGGTTTGCTCTTCATACACTCAGAAACTTTGGTCTGGGAAAGAAGACGCTGGAGCGATCCATCCAACAGGAGTGTCACTATATCACAGAGGCTTTTGCTGATCAACGAGGTAAAATAAGTTATTTATTTCATTTCTTCTTTTAATAGAAGGTAATATAATTCCCAAAATAATTCAAATGTGAGCCAGATAAGTCCAGTAACATAAAAAGTTAGCATTTGTTTTACTTGTAATTTCTCCTTGTTTTGTAGGTCAGCCTTTTAATGCCCAAAAACTGATAAACAATGCAGTGTCCAACATCATCTGCTGTTTGGTGTTTGGGAATCGGTTTGAGTACAATGACATGCAGTACCAGACTATTCTACAGAACCTGAATGAGACGGTTTACTTAGAAGGAAGTGTGTGGGCTCAGGTGAGGTCTCCACACTTTTGTTGGTGAACACTAACAAAACATAATCCCTTTAGGGGTAAAAATATTGTTTTTTAAATGAACTACTTTCAGACAATGATTAGTCTATCGAAAAGTAAATGATTGTACCTTTTCAAACCTTTTAAAAATCCCTTCCACAGTTGGACTAATTGACAATTCTGAGTTTAACATGAGGCTGAACATAAATACACCCACCTCCTGCATTAGCTTCTGAAAGAAAATAGATGGTGAATTCAAGGATTTGAAAAGCCTGAGAGATATGTCCCACTGTCAGTTAGTATTCATGGACTCACCCATCTTGACTTGCAACGGGAAAGGCTGTCATTGGTTTAGTATCCAGGAAACAGCAGAGAATGTATCGACCTAATAGAAGCTAACCATTAGCATTAGCAACTCCACCACATGGCAAAACTCCTCCAGGGTTGTGGTATTTGTGGAGATGAACATCAGTGTTGCAAAGTGAACAGATTCAGTGGTAGAGTTGCATTGCCATTAGCAAATCAGAGGTGAGATTTTTATGTTTATTCATTTAGCAGACGCTTTTATCCAAAGCGACTTACAATTTATAACCTATAGGGCATGTTGTGATCTGTGGGGGAAACCGGAGTCCCCAGAGGAAACCCATGCATACATCGGGAGAACACGCAACTCCACGCAGAAAGGCTGCAGCCGAGCCGAGTTTCGAACCTGCAACCTCCGTGCTGCGAGGCAACAGTGCTAACCACTGTGCCACCATGTTTAACCCCTTAAATTCCTAAGTTTAATGAATGTTATGGAGTTTTGTTCCATGGGCAGGATGCTGGAATTCTATGGGATTAAATATCATCCTGCCGTTTGAAGCTCTCCTCTGATCCGGCAATCTTTTAGATCCTGAAGCAGGTGTACCAGTCATTTTTGTACCCAGAGTACAACTTACAAGCAGAGGTGTGACCAAGTCACTGCATTGCAAGTCACAAGTAAGTCACAAGTCTTTCCAGTCATGTCTCGAGTCAAGTCCAAGTCAAAGACAACCAAGTCCAAGTCGAATCTGAAGTCAATGATGTGGAAGTCCAAGTCAAGTCTAAATCTTTAACTTTGAATTTTCAAGTAATAATCAAGTCATCTGTCCAACTTCAACTTAATGACAATACAGAAATAAAGCTTCTTAAAGCTTCATTTATTTGCTCAAACAAGCAGAAAGTGCAATTTTTGGTTCTTTTTTAAAAACACAGAAAAGGTTTCTCTTTACCTTGCTGACAGTTTTGTTTGCGGCTGCAAACATCCTCAGAGCTGACGCTGATGGTGGCGTCACTTCCTACTTCATTTATCCGCGGGCAGCGGAGGACGTTGTCACCCTCTGCTGCCCGCTCTCCCCTCTCCGAAGATGCAGTCCCATGCATGATCCAATCCGTGTTTATGATCCTTGTGTTGTCCCAGTCCATTATATGGTTTTCTCTTGTGCAGTGATCTGTTACCGCTGACTTCTTTATTGTGCTTTCTGCTTCTTGTTTTGCTGCTCTTGTGTGTGTTTGACTTGTTTCTTTCTCACACTCCTTTCTATGTTCTATTGTTCGTGTGTTGAGTTGGAGTCCGGTTTCTCCTATGTATGTTTTATTGCAGAATTTGCATGGGATTTCGTAAACGACTCCACATTTATATCTATATCTTGTCTTTTGGGTGTACTAGTCTGTTTCTAACTGTTGTGTATGGCTTTGTTGGTGTGTTTATGTTGTGTTTTTTCATTGTTGCTCTTACTTTTTCTGTTATGCCTTTGATGTATGGTAGGGTTGTCACTGGTTTTGGTTGTTGCCTTTCTGGGTTTCTGGCTCTTTGCTTTGGTTGTTATTTTTTTTCTGTTGTTGTTTGTTGTTTTACTTTGTTTATTGCCCATGTCGGGTATCTGCAGGTCTTTAAAGCGTGTTGCATGTGTTTGTCCTCTTGTTTACGGTCTCTCACTTCTGTTATCATGTTTGCTCGGTGATATAATGTTCTGATTACTGACATTTTGTGTATGTTGGGGTGTTCTTATGTCCATAATAAGTATTGGTCTGTGTGTGTTGGTTTCCTGTATGTGTTTAAGTATAGGGTCCCGTTGGTCTCCCTGGTCATTTTCATGTCCATAAATGCTATACTGCCATCTGTTTCTGACTCATCTGTGAACTTTATGCTGCCTGTGTCGTCAATGTTATTCAAGTGTTGTGTTAGTGTTTCTGTTGTCCTTTTGGTATGATTTCCAGTATGTCGTCTACGTAGCGTTTCCATAATTTTATTTTGCAGTTTGGGGGGGCAGTGGCTATGGCTTTTTGTTCTAGGTCTTCCATGAAAAACTCGCACAGGGTGGCTGATAACAGGTTACCCATGGCGAAGCCTTCCAGCTGTTTGTATATTATGTTGTCGTATGTGAATTAAGTGGAGTTAGCTGCCCACAGATAAACGGAGTAGGAAGTGATGCCACCATCAGAGTCAGCTCTAAGGATGTTTGCAGCCGCAAACGAAACTGTCAGCAAGGTAAAGAGAAACCTTTTCTGTGTTTTAAAAAAGAACCAAAAATGGAATTAGAAGTCAAACACAGAAAGAACGTACCAAAGAAGCAGAAAGGGCAACTGAAACTGATTATAAACAAAGTGCTGCTGCATTTAGCAGTACAAGATCAGACCCAGAACGAAGAATGATTTGTGATTTTTGTCCATGTCGTGCCACTTTTGTGCTAAAATATCAAATATGCTCAAGTCATCATCAAGTCAACAGATGCAAGTCAATTCGCGTTGCAAGTCATTGGCGTTCAAGTCCGAGTCGAGTGGCAAGTCTTTATAGATTTTATCAAGTCAAATCAGAAGTCATTAAAATAATGACTCGAGTCTGACTTGAGTCCAAGTTGTGTGACTCGAGTCCACACCTCTGCTTACAAGGCATTCATTCCTAATAGAGACCACTTAAAATGTATTAATTACATGAGTGAACCACACCTTTAATACATTTGCATTAGCATCTCATAAAGGACATGAATCTACAGACACATATATATTAAATCTCATCAATCAATCAAATCAAAGATACTTTATTAATCCAAGAGGGAAATTAGAGTTTCAGTACATACAATTCAGAGATCAGACATACATGGGCAAGACACATGACAAGAATTGGTGACTGTGGTCATTCGCAACCCTGAGTTGCGCTACCTTAATAGAGATAAGAGGGTTACATGAGGATTGGTTCAGGATCAGGTGGAGGGAAAAAATGGCCCTTCAGAGTTACCCTCCACCAGGAGGGCAGCTTTGCTCTGCAAAAAATAAAAAATAAACACCTCAAACATATATGCAACAGACATCACACAACATAAGTGTCCACTAGGTGGGGTGGTGGGTTGGGACTATCCCCACTTCAGTTCCTGCAGCCACGATAAGCAGCGCATGTCACCTCAGTGTGGACAGGGGGAGGAACATTGAGGGTTAGAGGGTTGCAGTGACCCTGGAACAATTCAGCGGCCTTCCCGCAGTCCCGCCCAGGCTAGGAAAGGAGACAGAATTGAGTTGCCATAGCGACGGCACATTCCACATATCTTCTGAGGGGGGAGTTTTCGTTCGAGCCTTGCAGACTCAAGGGCGCCAGATTCTGATTAGAAATTGTTTTGGGGCCAGACAGAGACAATTTCCTCTCTGTCTTACAGTTCCTTGGTCCTCAACCTCTCAATATCCCAATAATAGACATTAAACTATCCCAATCCGTGCTGATTCGTCCACTCTATCCTTGATGGCATCCATCTTTTGTGCCAATGAATGAATCTCGGCCAAAGTTCCAAGCTTATGATTCATCTCAACACTTATGTGAGTCTGTGAATTCAAAGCGCGGTGCAATCCATCTCTGAGCACAGGGATCAGGCCAATATTCCTCGACAGCTCGTTAATTTTCTGGTAAGCCAGGAAGCCTCCAAAGCCGATCAGCAAGAAACCTGACACCAACACCACGAATATCCACACGTCTTCAGAGTCCTCCTCAGACAACTGGTCTGTCCCGGAGGGGCCTCCGGGAGCCCCTTCTTCCGTTCTCATTGTTGAAAAAATGTTATCAATCGCGTTGAGTGACCAACTGACGAGATCCATTTTAGTGATTTCAGTTTCCAGTTTCCAGAAAAAATGCAGAAGCAGCCATGCACCCAGCACACAGAGACAGACAAAGGGCCTTGAGGATAAGATATGGAGGAGAGGAGGAAAAAAGTGTCTGCACCCTCCGGGAGCCGGAAGAAGAACATCAAATGTTCTGCAACAACATGCATAAAGGGCTTCAGTTTTATCAATACTTCATTCAACTTGTGGAATTTTCAGGTCAATGTAAAAAAAACTATGTAAAACAAATGTAAAAAATGTAAATAAATAAACCTGATCATGGATCACAGACAAACACCAACATCTTTCTCTGATTTCTAAGCTAACATAATATCAGAAATATTTTGTAACTGCACTGTAAATTGCATTTACGCCTTTTTGTTGTCCCAACGTTTGATTTCATGTTAATATAACAAGGCTTTTGTATTGTTGTTGTTATAAATTAGAATAATTAGTTAAACACATCTCAACAACACTAAAAATGTTAAACAATAATTTTATGTCCAGTCAAATAAATTATCCAAGTCTACTTGACTTTTGAGCATTAAAATATATGTCCACTGGGTGGCGGTAAGTGGCGCAAAGTTTGTTTCGCATGTGCCTATGATAACGGAAGAAGAAGTCAACGGAGCTCTCAGTTCAGTCAAGCAGTCTTTCACGCATGCAATGTTCTGTCCAGAAGGACTAATGACTCCATTTAGGGTTAAAACCAACTACTTTGTCCATCTAAAGGTGACACTGAACCAGTTCAACAGAGGCCCACCACTTTGGTAAGTTTTCTTTGGGTTTATGTTGAATTTGAATTTGTTAGTTGTTAAATAGCATTAGCTTGATTAGTCATAGTGAAATGAATAAATAAAAGGTCTGAACCTGAAAGTAAATCGTGTAATTCTAAGTTTAATGTTGAATGCAACTTAGTATATCTTATATTTGATTGTTAGAAGTAGGTAACTCGCTGTTTGTTGGTTAGCATAGCAGGGTTGGCGGGGAAATTGTTTTGGGAAATGTTTACTCGGTAACAAGTTAATTAACCTTTTTTCTGAAAATGTATACTCATAAAATTAAGCTAAATGCTCAAAGCCGGGTCCACATGGGCGCATCTGTGGCGCGAAACAGCAGCGGAATCTCGCAGCATCTCAGCCGTTCTCCTCGCTAAACTCCGTACGTCACGTGACCCTCAGAGAGTAGACGCCATGTGTTTACTTCACACTTTAAAACCGAATACATTGTTTTATATAGTCAGTATTCATTTAAATAATGAAACAGAAATAATTAATCAAAATATTAGGTGATACTTGCAAGTTAGTTCTGTGAAATGTTGACCTCATTAATCATGAATTTTTTACCTAAGTTTTACCTATTTCAGATTCTATTTTGAAGGTGCCCATGATGAAAAGGCCTTTTACACCGTATGAAGTGGACCTGTAAACTTGGTACTTTTTTCTGTGGAAATCGTAAGTGCATCATTGAACCTTATCAAAGCAATCACAGACATTATGGCAGAACTTGCCCTTTGCCCTTCATTTACAATTACTGCTCACAGTATTTCAGATCCAAACAATCCTTGCATGTCCATCTGAGAGATCATGGACTCAATGAAAACACTAATGGACTAATAAGCTTTAAGGTAAAATGTTTGTTGTAAAATTAAAATTGTACATGTGTTGCAAGTTTGCAACAAGATTTATTTTTTTGTTCTTGAATGTTTCTCAGCCTGGTATTTGGAGCACCTTCGTTGTTACGAATTCTGCAAGAAAGATCCAGATCAACTGATGGCCACTGAACCCAGTGAACTAAACCACTACCTTCCACTGTCATCCTACGCTGTCCAAGGCCGACTGGTGATTTCTCCAAAGGTGTTTCTTGTACATTGAGGTGAGTTATTGTATTTTGGCTATTTTTGTTCTTTCTCCAAATGTTTGTCACCCTAAAAGTAGTAAATGGAGCTCAACTACTTCCATGAATGGTGTCAACATTTATTCATCTCTGAGCCATTGGATGGTACTTAATGATACAAGACAGTACTAAGAGCTCATCACAAAAACATGTTTTTGTAAGCTGAACCTTGTAAAATTTTAGCAATATTGTCCACAGACAACCTTGTAATGTAGCAAGTTGGTGAAATGATGAACATCACATTCCCCCTACGAAGAAAAGAAATAGTTGAAAATCAACCTCTTGCGGCTGAAGTCAAAGAAGGGTGGCCAGCCCTGTTCAAAGAACAGCAGGCACATTTCGATTTTTCTCTTTCACACATTTGTCAACTTTTTGTCTTTTTTAAAAAGTTGTGTAAAGTTGCAAATTTTGTTGTTGTCACCTTCAATTACAGATTGAAGCAGAGTTTGCTCGGCTGACATCTGTTGACCTCAAGAAGTCTTTCTTCAGTGGACTGGATCAGCATTTGCCAAGGTTCCTGGAGCTGTTCAAGGCCAAGAGTGGGAAATCAGCTGGACTAAGCAGGCAGCTTAAATGTCTTGATGATGTAAGCAAATAAATGTTCACATATTTTTGTTAGTATTAGTAACATTTCCTTTGGAGATTATTTACAGTTTTACCAGTTTTCAGTATTTAACAGTATTTTCTACTTTCTAATACAGAGAAGAAGAAAATTATGTTAACATTTTGTTGGGTTATTGTCTTTGGGTGAATAGAATTCAGTCATGCCTTTTAGGAAATCCATCAAATTGAAATTATCTTTGAAACAATCTGCCTGTGTAAATGTAGCAAAAAAAAAAAAAGCATGTTTCTACACAAAATTACCACAACCCCAGTAGCTTTCCTATAGTGATAGGTCAGAGCTGGAAAAACTTATCAGAACAATTCTATTCCAAAAGCTATAGTATTTAGAATAAAACAAAATGGCTAAAGGCTGCCAAATCCCCCCTCCCAATAAAACAAAAACAGAAAAACTGTCAGTCAACACAAATTCTGTAGCAGACTTCTATTGCAGTACAGGTTTGGAAGAAGAATTTGAAGTGAAAATGTCCAACTAATCAATTGAATATAGAAAACAGAATAAAAGAATCAGGATATCAATAATTTGTTATTCTCTTTATAATTAGTTGTTTTGTCTTTGTTTTTTCTCAGTCCTCTATACTGAGGAAGAGGTCATTTGTTCTTCCGGTGCCTTCCGTATATTCTCAAGGATGATCCTTCAAATGCATTCAAGACTGTTCAGGTGAGCATTTGTATCAAAAATGATCTGTGAACAATTTCTTTATAAGTGAAAGTAGTGATGTGATATTAGATGTAGTTATATAAAGAAGGGTTTTAAAGCCATACTATGCAACTTTTTCACATTATTAAATCACTTTCTGGAGCCAGGATGTGCTAAAATGAACCTTTGCTGGGGTGATGAAATGTCACACAGACCCTTAAGCTTGGTTTATGCTTGACGCATTCACTTTCCGCGCGGTGATGCGGCTCGCGGATGGAACGCGCTTCACAACTCGCAGCGTTTATGGTTCGTGCGGCTCGTCTCTGCGGTGAGCCAATATTCTCCCAAACTGAACGGGGCAGCATAGAGCTCTACGGCATGCATCCAACACTACACCATAGTAGAAGTAGAAATTACTGTTTACAACATGGCATTTCAGCATTTTTAACAGCGTTCTCGTCTTTTCCGACAGTGCGAGCTATTTCTCTCCAAGAATTATTAACAACAAGTTGATCACGGTGATCTCTGAGAGCTGAATCATACAAATGTCTGTATTTACGAACCTCTGCCATATTAGTTCTTGCCGGTCCGCCATGTTTTTACGCGTGGTTAGAAATTTTCCTAGGTGCGCGTTGCGGAAATTTTGGGCCGTGTGGAGACGCGGTGGAGGGGCCTGGTTGTTAAAATGATGCAACTTTTCCACGCGGAGCCGTGCGGACACGTCAAGCATAAACCAACCTTTACCGCCCTCTGTTCTGCAGCTCTCCTCAATGAGAGGGGGGATGGGGGCGTTGCACACGTTCCGCTGCTGTTTCTCACCAGTATCAGCTGATGGAGGACTCTAGCTCTGTTGTGCCGTTCGTGTCAGCGGACACGGTCGGGGAGGGGGGCGGGGCATGACGCTTAGCCTGGCTGGTGGGCAAACAAAGCCTGCTAAGTGCTGGGGGAAACCCTGAAATATGAAAAAGTTGCAAAGTATGCCTTTAAAAGGGCAAACGCACAGCGAGGAGATACGTTTCAATTCTGCTTTGACCACAGACAGACACCAGGGGGCACTAAAAACAAGCAAAACTGCCTAGTCTCCTTTTAACAAGGTTGTCTGTAGAATTATCCAAATATTGCAAGGGGTCATAGTGAGTAATTTGCTTTATAACTTGTGTAGGCCATTGACGAGGAAGCCACACTCACTCGGGGAATGAAAGTTGGAGTTCTGCTGGTGAAAGATGGAGAGGACATCATTGCCACATCAGTCATTCTTGAGGAACAAGTGGTCCTGCCTGATGTGGAGGACATTCCTCATGCCATTGCTCTACTGATGGGTCTGCTTTTTGCCTTTAATATAGACTATCCAAAGGAACTCAGGTACACATTTGAAGTTTTTCAAAAGGTCCTGATGAACATCGGCGGAGGTCAGTGTTCCTCCCTTGTGCATGGTTTTAGAAACAGACTGTTACAGAAAACCATGTAGATTCTCCTGAAATGTCTCATCTCATGACTCATGGATGTCTGAGCTTTTTGAAAGCACTCAACGTTTCCTGTTAAACATTGTTCCAAAGGTCATATAGAAGTTTGGCACATGGTTTGGAATTCTTGTTTTGTTATTTCATCTGTTTAGGTTTATTCCATCAGAAAATATAGTCATATCAGTTCAAAGCCAATCAAATGCATAGGTTGATAAAAAGTATTGCAATAAAGAGGTCAACATAAGACCAAACGATAGAGGACAAGATTAAAATGTGCACTATTTGTTTAGAACTACTATTTTGAATTGTAGTATCATTTTGAATTTTATTTTATTGTTTTTATTTGTGCAAGGTTTTGTCAGATGCTTTAAAAGTTTATGCACTTGAGTTAATGTGCAATGACTTGTCTCATTTAAGACACTAAATATGTTCTAACTATAAGACCTTGATAAGCTGCTGTGTTAATGTTTTTTTTTGAGTGCAGACTGTTCTAAAACGTTTTCACTATTCATTACAAAACAAAACAGCTTCAGTAAATGTTGCAGAGCTGTAACTTCATTACTGCTAAATAAATAAAAAAACTAGCTGAGTTGATGAACATGTTTGTATTGTTTCTGTTTTTGGAGGTGAAATTTATCACTAAATGGATCATTTTGTGTGAAATGTACATAAATTAATCATATGAATGTTTTAAATTTCCAATATACAGTGCCCCCATCTTTTTTCGATATGGCAAATGTTTTAAATTATTTAGTTAAGTTGACTTAAACATTTCTTCCAAATGAATTGATACTTTTAAATTGAGTCAACATACATTTATGGATTACACGGACTGTACCAGTCAGTTCTCTCAATTAAAAAAACAACCCCAAACTAGTTTTGACAACGTAAAATTATTAATTGTGGTTTAAGTTAAAAAAACTAAAAGAAGTTGAATCAACTCTTGATTATAAATTTAACTAACTTAAAAACATGTTGGTATAACAAGAGAGTTTAATTTGGGATAAAATATGGTAATGTTAAGACAACAAATTTTGTTTTTTCATTTAACTCAAAATTTTAATGCAGCCCTTTCACTCATATTTTTAAGTTGAAACAATATGTTTTATTTTACAGTGTGTCCAACTGCCCTGCAGATTTACAGCATGATGCCGTGGTTGATGAGAAGGCTTCCTGGACCTCATCAGAAGATTTTCACTCTAACAAAGACACTAACTGACTTCATAGAAGTTAGGATCAAAGAACACAGAGATAACCTCAACCCTTCATCTCCTAGAGACTACATTGATGCCTTCCTGATAGAGATGGAAAAGGTAGGAGGTCATATGGGTGTCTGGTGGGTTGACTGGATCTTTAATTAATATGTATGTGAAGTGTCTCTGTTAATTGCCTGTTATGCTTTTATTAGAATCAGGACAAAGAGGCTGGTTTTGATCTCAACAATTTGTGTTTTTGCACTTTGGACCTGTTTGGTGCTGGAACTGAAACTACTACAACAACTTTACTCTGGGGTCTGCTGTTCATGATCAACTACCCTCACATACAAGGTGAGTTAGTAAAGCAGAGCATCTACTCCAGACTTTATCTATGATCTCCAGCATATTGGTATTCCATTGGGCCAAAAATGTGTATTCAATTCTAAATTTGTTGTGTTTTCACTGTGTTCAGAACGAGTCCAAGCTGAGATAGATGCAGTGATTGGTCCATCCAGACAGCCCTCTACGACTGACAGAGAAAGCATGCCATACACTGATGCAGTCATCCATGAGATACAGAGGATGGGAAACATTTTACCTCTCAATCTGCTCCATATGGCAAGCAAAGACACAGTCCTGGATAAATACACTCTACCCAAGGTAAGCACTTAGGAAAAAATAAAATAGCTTTACTACTTGCCAGACATTTGAGGCCTTATCCTTCATGGGTTTTAAATGGATAGGGAACCATGATCCTGGCAACACTGGACTCAGCCCTACATGATGAGTCGATGTGGGAGACGCCTCACGTCTTTAACCCTCAACACTTTCTGGACAAGGATGGTAAACTCAGAAAGAGAGAGGCCTTCATTCCTTTTTCTGCAGGTTAGTAACTTGTTTAAAATCAAAAAGAATAGAATGAAAACAATTACACGTGGTTAAAGCCTGGAACAACTAAATAGCAAAGGCTGACGACAGACACTGATTATTAATGAACTAAATAAAACTGAAAGAAGTTTTGAAGTGTTGAAAAGTACATCTCAGAAGCAGGCTTACCTTAAAATTTGTATCACAACTAAGGATGCTCCGATCCGATCATGTGATCAGAAATCGGGCGATCATGTGAACTTGAAAGGATCGGGATTGGGAGAAGACAAATCAGTTTTAACCTTTAAAAAAACCTTTTTAAAATCCTCCTGAGATAGAGATTTTCAAATGGAATAAAATGGCTTTGTTTTAATTTCAATAAGTTCCTCTACATCAACATTATTTGTTTTGGGTACAAAAACAACACAGTGACGTCATACAATGGCAAGCAGGAACTCAGACACCAAGGCGCAAATGTTAGCAAGCAGGCTAATGCAGAGCTAACGTGTCTCCTTGGGAGAGCTAAAATGTCCTCAGCTTGGTGGTATTTTAACTGAACAGAGAAGGCAGAGCTACAGTCATTTTTAATGTGTGCATACAGAGAAGGACTCAGTTCCAAGATTTGCTGGCTTCAAAACAAACTACTTTACCTTTGGGCATCAACAAAGTGAATCCCTTGATTCCTAGTTTGCCTCTACCAGTCCCAGTTCAAACAGAAATCAGACAAAAATGCAGAGCCTGCCGACAGAGAAAGATATTCTAACGAGAACATCTCTCCACTATCTTGGCCCCACTGGTTGGAAAGACATAACATCACATACAGAATTTGGTTGATTTTGTAAAGAGAGTTCAGGATCTCAAACTGGCCTCAGGAGAAATCACTGTCTCATTTGATGTTACTTAACTCTTCACATGTATACCCACATGAAGCAGTGGAAGCAGTATAGGAAACGGTTGGAACAAGATGATTCCTTAAACGAGAGGACAAAACTGACTCCAGACCAGATCTGTACCCTGCTGGACCTCTGCCATTATACCACCTATTTCAAACAAGTTCTACAGGCAAAAACATGGATGATCCATGGGCTCCCCAGTGTCACCTATCGTCGCCAACATTTAGATGGAGGAAATGGAAACCAGAGCACTGAACTCCTTTACTGGAAACACACAACTGGAGGCTAGGAGGGAGATCCGGCCGTCTGGTTGGGGTCTGGGGTGGTGGGTTGCTGTGCTCAGCGTTGGGCGGGGGAGCCTGCTCATCAGCACCCAAGCAGAAAGGGTCAAACTCTGGTTACCGGTGATGGTTGTACCCAATGTGCAGCAGTACCGGGACCAGAGTGAATAGGGTGTGTATGGGGAGCATGAGTGGGTGTCCGGCATGCATTTTTGTAAGTCTTGGGTTATATGTGCATGTGTGAGCATGAGGGAGGGAGTGTGTGACTGTGTTTATGTATGACTGTATAGGTCAGGTGGGGCCTTTGACTCCTCCCCTCTCCTGGAACTTCTTTTGATGATATAGATCTTTGTCCCCCCTCCCCCTGCCACACCTGGTGTGGGGGGTTGTGCCTTAGTCTGCTTGAGTGTTCGTGGTAACCGGGTCTGGGGGTTTAAGATTTTTGGCATCTGCCTGATCAATCCCGGTGGCTGCCTGGTGGGGTCTGCGTCCCTGGGCTCTGCTTGGTCCCCGGCGGGGGTGGTCGCCCCTGGGTCCCGGGTCGCCGGGTCCCGGGCTCGGCCGGCTAGGGGGTGGGAGGCTGCGGGCGGGCCTCTGGGCTTGCCGCTGATGTCTCCCGGGACTCTGCCGGCTGCTGGTTGTGGCCCCCCCTGGGCGATCCTTTGTGCCCCTCGAGGGGGCGGGAGCCTTTCTGGTTGCAGTCTCCTTGGGGTTCCTGTGTTCTGGGGCAGCGCCTGGATCTCTGGGACTTGGAGCTCCCCCCGTCTCCTACGCATCTTTGGGGGGTGGATCTGTGGTCTCTCACACTCTCTGTTGGACGCTCCTATAGATAAACCTTACATAAACAAGCGCGTGTACACACACAGGTGCTCACATGGTGCTCTCAAAAGTATGGGCTTGGGCACGTTAAACACAGGTCTTAAGACTGTGGTGGGCACTTAATGCACTGTGATTTATTATCGTGATTCTTCAGTTAAACAATGTTTATTATATATTTCTTCATCAAGTTGACGCAGTGATAGCTTGATCTTGTTGTATTGTTGTTGTGTCCCTTTTTTTTGTTTTGTTAGTTTTTTGTCTTCTGCAGGTCTAGAAGCAGACTCTCGTTCATTATTGTTTATTTTTGTGGAAGCCCCCCCTCCCCACCTTTTGTGTTTTCCTTTCTCTTTCACCTCTGACTCCGCGTCTGGTCGGAATTACAAAGCATTCAAAAACAATAACAATAAAGTTTTAAGTATCAGGCGTGACATTAAAAGCAGATGCTTTGATGCTCCACCTGAGAGTAAATCTGTAAGGCTTGTTACCAGCATTCAGACATCAATTCTGCTTGCTTCACAGCCAGACAGGACATGGTAAAAAAAAAAAAAAGAAAAAAAAAAAAAGAAGGAAGGTCAATCTGAAAAGGGCTTAGGGCACACCTTCCTGCATCTAATCAACACAATTCTCTCTCTCAATAGAGGCCAACGACTCATCAGGGGGTGGAGAGGCGGGGTACCCACAGTAGTTTTGGCTTTTATAATAACAGACAGCTTGTAAGCTTGACTCTCCCATGTGCCGGTTAAGCCTGATTCATGCTTCTCCGTCTGCGTCAGTGCTGAGACACGCAACGTCCTTGCGGGCCTGCCGGAGAGCTCCGCAAGGACGGACAGAGTCGAGCTCTCTTTTCTAAACATCTGTCCGTCGAGACGGACAACGCAAGCTTGTGATTGGTCAGGACGCCGCTGTCGTCTACGCCGCTGCCATTGCGCCCTAAAAAACATAAGGAGAGCCGAGGATAACTAGCAGCAGACACGGAGCAGCTTGAAGAATACCTCGTGAAAAAACTCTAAAAACATGAACGTTTAATTCCCCCGTGACTGGAGGAGTGAAAAGATGCGCAGCAGACGTTTTATTTGTGGACGGAAATGACAGGAAACGTGGATTTAGAGGTCGTGAGCGCATGAAGAGGTGGAGGAGAATGAGAGACAAATTTGTCCGTGTTAAAAAGTCTCTTATATACAAACAATATAAACACACTATCTTGGACCGGTACATGACAGGATACCACAGAACAGCGCTACGCCCTCTACTGTCCTGCCGGGGAATTGCTTTGCAACACTCTTCAGGAGACGAAGTATGAGAGCAAAACACGTCCGTCAATCCGTGCGTGTCTGTCCCTTGTGGAGCTGACGGAGAAGCATAAACCAGGCTTTAGAATTGACAAAGCTCCTAGGATGAGAAGTGAAATTTCTTCAAGAAACCAAGGAAGCCCAGTTGCCTTCATTTGAACAATTTTGATTCCTATTTTAATATGTTCATGAAAAGTATCGGTTCAGGATGCGGTATCAGCAGATACTCAAAATCAAATGACTCGGAATCGGATCGGGAGCAAAACAATGTGATTGAAACACCCCTAATCACAACTCTTAAGAATAGTTCATCCACGTATAATTGGTGGAAAAACATAGAAGCTCACCTTCAAAAATGTTATGTTAGAATTGTTTTAACTTGAAATTTTTGCTCCTATAAACAGGAAAAACAAAGTATAAAAAGTGTATGCATCCGCGTCTGGGTAAAAGGGGTTGCAGCCCCAGTTAACACCAAACTCACCACTCCAGCCCAAGGGCAGTGTCTGGAAATTCTGTTCAGAAAGGTATTGAACAGTACTGGTGACAAAGGACAGCCCTGGTGGAGTCCATCTCTCATCAGTGATAGGTTTAACTGCTGCCTGCAAAGTGGACAAGACTCACATTCTCTTTGTCAACAGACTCAATTGCTGCTTTTACAGGATCACAGCGTTAGCTAAACGGGATTTGCCGCGGCTCCCTGGGGAGGATAAAGGTTGTTTATAAGATCAGACTGTGGCGGTAATGTGGCGCAATCGGATAGCAATTTTTTAAAAGACTAGGTGATGGCGGCATAAAGGGGGTATGGGGGCGGTCTCTATGCTGCTGCAGACTTCCGTTTATCTTGGACATAAATTGCTTTTTATTGCGATTGAAGCCGTGATCATTAAGTTTATGTTAACAAGCAGCTCCTAAAGGTGTCTGACCCCATCAGTCCCTGTGCAGTCTCTGGTCATCTTAGCTTCAGCTCTAACAGAGAGGCTCATGGAGCACTGCGGCGCTCCAGTTTGCCATTTCAGCTAATTTTGTTCTAAAAGCAAACCTAATTGCCTGTGTTTACTTTCATTTTCAATAAATTTGCCAGCCGGAGCTCAGCAATAACTTCCCATGTCTTCATGACATCCGCCTCTGTTGCGCCAGGGTGCATACGACAGACCTTCGTCTTCGTCTTCCTCCGCTTATCCGGGTCCGGGTCGCGGGGGCAGCATCCCAACTAGGGAGCTCCAGGCCGTCCTCTCCCCGGCCTTGTCCACCAGCTCCTCCGGCAGGACCCCAAGGCGTTCCCGGACCAGATTGGAGATGTAACCTCTCCAACGTGTCCTGGGTCGACCCGGGGGCCTTCTGCCGGCAGGACATGCCCGAAACACCTCCCCGGGAAGGCGTCCAGGAGGCATCCTGACCAGATGCCCAAACCACCTCAACTGGCTCCTTTCGATCCGGAGGAGCAGCGGTTCTACTCCGAGTCCCTCCCGAATGTCCGAGCTCCTCACCCTATCTCTAAGGCTGAGCCCGGCCACCCTACGGAGGAAACTCATTTCGGTCGCTTGTATCCGCGATCTCGTTCTTTCGGTCATTACCCAAAGCTCATGACCATAGGTGAGGATTGGGACGTAGATCGACCGGTAAATCGAGAGCCTGGCTTACTGGCTCAGCTCCCCTTTTCCCCACGACAGATTGGCTCAGCGTCCGCATCACTGCAGACGCCGAACCAATCCGCCTGTCGATCTCCCGATCCCTCCTACCCTCACTCGTGAACAAGACCCCGAGATACTTAAACTCCTCCACTTGAGGTAGGACCTCTCCCCCGACCCGGAGGTGGCAAGCCACCCTTTTCCGGTCGAGAACCATGGTCTCAGATTTGGAGGTGCTGATCCTCATCCCAGCCGCTTCACATTCGGCCGCGAACCTACCCAGCAAGAGCTGAAGGTCAGAGCTGGATGAAGCTAGGAGGACCACATCATCCGCAAAAAGCAGAGACGAGATTCTCCTGCCACTAAACTCGACACACTCCACACTACGGCTGCGCCTATAAATTCTGTCCATATAGGTAATGAACAGAACCGGTGACAAAGGGCAGCCCTGGCGGAGTCCAACCCTCACCGGGAACTGGTCCGACTCACTACCGGCTATGCGGACCAAACTCACGCTCCTCTGGTAAAGGGACTGAATGGCCCTTAACAGAAAGCCACCCACCCCATACTCCTGGAAAGTCCCCCACAGGGTGCCCCTGGGGACACGGTCATAAGCCTTCTCCAAATCCAAAAAGCACATGTGGATTGGTTGGGCAAACTCCCATGCCCCCTCCATCACCCTTGCAAGGGTATAGAGCTGGTCCACAGTTCCACGGCCAGGACGAAAACCACATTGCTCCTCCTCTATCTGAGATTCAACTATCGATCGGACCCTCCTCTCCAGTACCTTGGAGTAGACCTTTCCAGGGAGGCTGAGGAGTGTGATCCCCCTATAGTTGGAACACACCCTCAGGTCACCCTTCTTAAAGATGGGGACCACCACCCCGGTCTGCCACTCCCTAGGAACTGTCCCCGATGACCGCGCAATGTTGTAGAGACGTGTCAACCATGACAGCCCTGCAACATCCATAGCCTTGAGATACCCAGGACGAACCTCATCCGCCCCCGGGGCTCCGCCGCTGTGTAGTTGTTTGACTACCTCAGCAACTTCTGCCCCTGAGATCGGACAGTCCATCCCCAGGCCTCCCAGCTCTGGTTCCTCCTCGGAATGCGCATTTGTGGGATTGAGGAGATCCTCAAATTATTCCTTCCACCGTCCGACTATAGCCTCAGTTGACGTCAGCAGCTCCCCATCCCCACTGTAAACAGTGTGAGCGAGTTGCTGCCTTCCTCTCCTGAGGCGCCGGACAGTTTGCCAGAACCTCTTTGGAGCCGATCGATAGTCTTTCTCCATGGTCTCACCGAACTCCTCCCACGCCCGAGATTTTGCCTCGGCAACTGCCACTGCTGCACCCCGCTTGGCTATCCGGTACCTGTCTGCTGCCTCCGGAGACCCACAGACCAGCCACGCCCTGTAGGCCTCCTTCTTCAGCCTGACGGCTCCCCGAACCTCTGGTGTCCACCAGCGGGTACGGGGGTTGCCACCACGATTGGCACCGGCCACCTTACGACCACAGCTAGCAACAGCCGCCTCGACAATCGCAGAGTGGAACAAGGCCCACTCGGACTCAATGTCCCCCACTGCTCTCGGGACGTGGTCAAAGCTCTGCCGGAGGTGGGAGTTGAAGACCGTCTTGACAGGTTCTTCTGCCAGGCGTTCCCAGCAGACCCTCACTATGCGTTTGGGTCTGCCAGGTCTACGCGGCATGTTCCCTTGCCATCTGATCCAACTCACCACCAGGTGGTGATCAGTTGACAGCTCCGCCCCTCTCTTCACTCGGGTGTCCAAAACATACGGCCGCAGGTCAGATGATACGACTACAAAATCTATCATCGACCTGTGACCTAGGCTGCCCTGGTACCAAGTGTACCGGTGGGCATCCTTATGTTCGAACATGGTGTTCGTTATGGCCAAACTGCGGCTTGCACAGAAGTCCAATAACAAAACACCGCTCGAGTTCTGATTAGGTGGGCCGTTCCTCCCAATCACACCCCTCCAGGTCAAGCTGTCATTGCCCACGTGAGCATTGAAGTCCCCCAGCAGGACAATGGAGTCCCCTGATGGAGCACTATCTAGCACTCGTCCCAGGGACTCCAAAAAGGGTGGGTACTCTGAACTGATATTTGGCCCATAAGCACAAACAACAGTCAGGACCCGTTCCCCGACCCGAAGGCGCAAGGAAGCTACCCTCTTGTCCCCCGGGGTAAACCCCAACACACAGGCAGAGAGTCTCGGGGCTAACAAAAAGCCAACCCCAGCCCTCCGCCTCTCACCCGGAGCAACTCCAGCAAAGTAGAGTGTCCAACCCCTCTCCAGGTCTCGGGTTCCAGAGCCAATGCAATGTGTCGAGGTGAGTCCGACTATATCTAGCCGGTACCACTCAACCTCTGCCACAAGCTCCGGCTCCTTCCCCGCCAGCGAGGTGACGTTCCATGTCCCAAAAACTAGTTTTCTTGTCCGGGGATTGGACCGCCAAGGCTCTCGCCTTGGTCTGCCACCCGATTCGCATTGCACCGGACCCTTCATGTTCCTCCTGCGGGTGGTGGGTCCACAGTTGGACGAGCCCATGTATCCGGTTCGGGCTGGGCCCGGCCGGGCCCCATGGGCGAAATCCCGGCCACCAGGCGCTCGCTCACGGGCCCCAACCCCAGGCCTGGCTCCAGGGTGGGACCCCGGTAACCCTCCGGGCCGGGTATTCCGACTCTTCGTTTTAACCGCCATGAAAGATCCTTCGAACCGTTCTTTGTCTCACCCTTCACCTAAGACCAATTTGTCATGGGAGACCCTACCAGGGGCACTAAGTGCCCCAGACAACATAGCTCCTAGGATCATTAGGGCACTCAAACTCCTCCACCACGATAAGGTGACGGTTCAAGGAGGACAGACCATTACCGCAATATTACTACCAGGCGAGGCGGAACGGATGCCGCAAAATTCGTGCAACGCCATGCCAGCATGGCGCGTTTATAGACATACCATTACGGTAATATTATGCCGATTTGAAGAAGAAGAAAATGTCATTTCTGTAGCGCCTCTCAGGATAAAAATCACAAGGTGCTTCACAAAAAACAAAAAATGTAAAAAATATAAAAAATCTTTCATAAAATGATTAAAAATATATTTAAAATGAGCAAAAAATAGACTATTGTGTTTAAAAAATGTAAAGAAAGAGAGAGTGAATAGGAAAGAGGGAAATCAGTGGATCCTGAGGAAGGTAGAATAGGTGGGGAGAGCAGAATAAAGAGAGATTTGCTGGCATGGTGTGTCTTATAAAAGCACCTAATGACCCCTAACCCCCCTCAGGGTGTCCCTGGGGACACAGTCAAGAGCCTTCTCCTAATCCACAAAAACATGTACTGGTTGGGCAAACTGTGCTCTCACCAACTCCCTAGCAAGGAGTCAGTCCACAGTTGCACTGCCAGGACGAAAACCACATTGATCATCCTCAATCGAGGATTGGACTATTGACTGGATGCTCCATACCAGTACATTGGAGTAGATTTTTCCAGGAAGGCTAAGGAGTGTGATCCTTCTATAGTAGGAACACACCCTCTGGTCCACCTTCCTAAAAATGAGAACCATCACTCCCATCTGCCTTTCCACAGGCACCATGTCTTTTGTCCACACAATGTTGCAGAAGCATGTCAACCAAGACAGCCCTACAACATCCATAGCCTTGAGGTACCCACATATGTCGATGGGTACCCACATCCATAGCCTTGAGGTACCCACATATGTCGATGGGTGCCCATGATGAACCTCATCGACTTCTGGATCTCCACTGCTTAGATGTTGGGCTACCTTGCGACTTCTGCTCCATATATTGATCCACATCGTAGTCTCTAAGCTCTGGTTGCTCACTGTGTTGGTGGGATCAATTGAGCTCCTCAAAGTATTCCTTCTTTTGCTCGACCATTATGTCAAGAGATCCCTGATCCCCATACCTAAATGCCACCTACTAAAACTGTAAAATATAAAACTAGTACATCAACTCAATCAGTTCTTCAATTTCTTGTTACTCATTACAATCACAGGCCATGCAGTGGTCTCTTGGTGCAACAATGATTCCTTCTTTTTTGTTTTGTTTTACCTGGTATTGAAATATACAGGAAATATATTGTTAACGTGTGCATAAAACTATTGTGTTTTTCCAGGTAAGCGTGTTTGTCTGGGAGAACAGCTGGCCAGGATGGAGTTATTCCTGTTTTTCACGTCGCTCCTTCAGAGGTTTTCCTTCTCAGCTCCAGAAGGAGAAAAGCCTAGTCTGGAATTCAAACTGGGAACTACTCGTTGTCCCACACCTTACCAGCTTTGTGCTGTACAACGTTGATGTTCAAACATAACACATTGTTGTGTTCCTCAAACAAATTGTTCTTTATTTATAGTAATATATGTAAAATACAAAGATAAAATAACTTCTGGGAGTTCCTTTGAACATATTTTTAAATAATTTTATTAGTAGTCATTTTCACTTGATTAAGAATTCATTGGACAGATTAAATCGGGATGTATTTTTAAAATATACAGTAATTAATATGATCAAGTTCACATTTGACATTCAGGCTCCTTGTTATTTCTTTTTGATGTCTTCCATCATTGTCTCTGTAACATCACCATGTCACTTTTGATTTACTGAAGTTGTTTATTCTTTTCTCTGCCATGTTTTGGTTTTGTTTGCTCCTTTGAGTTCTTTAGATTATACTAATTATAATTAAAATAATTACTGACCAAAGAAAGACCTAGGTGGGATTATTGTTGTACACGTGAGACGTTTAAATCTAAAAGTACACACAACAAACTAACATAGGTTATTGTAATTGTTTTCACATGTCTTCATTTGAATAATTTAAATTAATAACCAAGACATAATAAGTATAGAGTAAATAAAATGTTAGATCTTTTTGATATTTAATTCTTTATTACTGGCATCTTACCCGTTTTTGAATTATTTCTGAAGATGATGACTTGATGTTTTATTGTTCATTAATCGTACAATTTCTGACAAGATAATAGAAAGAAATTACTCCTTGTAAGCTTTTAAATAAATAATAATTCAATATAAATATTATAAATATTAAAGTATAATTTTATAAACCAGCCAATTAAATAAATGTAATTTCATTTTTCATTCTATAAATTGTAATCTTGTTTCAGGCCCACCCCAATGCATGCAGGTCTGATTCCTGCCCACATATTTACACTCAGGGTGTCTCAACCTGGCACATCATAAACCACAACAAAAGAGCAAAACGCTTCGCAAAATTCTATCATTTTTTCCTAAATTATCACTTTCATTAAACGCTATCCTGACTATTCATTAAATGTATTTTAAAATAAAAGAAAGATTAAAGGCTGCTGCAAACATGAGAACTCACAGAATGATATTAATTAGCTCAAAATACTAGATGGATAAAAATGTTACAATCTCCAATTGGCCAACACACTTCACACACATGTAACATAACATAAGCACAACATCCTTGCGTGACCATGGTGCAGACAACAGGCTCTACAGTCTTATTAAGGCCGATCAGATCACACGATTAATAAGGCTAATGCTAACAGGGACAAATGAACTTTTATCTGCAAGCTGAGGGCAGCAACATGTACTCAGTACGGAGGGTGGTTTGGATCAACTGTGATAGCTTTAGCTTTCCTGACAGTTCCACAGGACTTCTTCCCATAATTTAGCTGCATATCTTGACGTTGTGAAGTCTGTGCTTCTAATTTTCTGAGGTACTGAATTTAGGATTTTCATTAGTTGTTAGTTAATCATTTCTTTGTCATTTTTTCATGATAAGTAATGTGATTGAGTAAATAGGGTAGGCATAAAAAGTTAGGCTTCAGCCTACACCTTTTTGGTTACTATAATTGAGATTCTGTTTTATTGTATTTTCTTTTTTCCTTTTAAATGACCAAAATAAAATAAATTGAAATTGAAATTGAAAATTGAATCATCAAAATTAAAATAAGTAAACATTTGAAATAGAACAGTCTGTGTGTAATGAATGAATCTAAAATACAAGTTTTACTCTGAATGGAAATACTGAAATAAATCAACGTTGTCATGTATTCTAATTACCTGTCAGGTGTACAGTTTCAAAAGCCTGTAAATTGATTAAAACTGGAAGGAATAGTAGATGCTTCCTTCTAATATCATTTACTATTTCTTTGGGTTTTTAAACATTAATCTACAGGGATGAGTGCTCACATAGTCAATATCCTCCACCTCAGACACCTCAGAGTCCTGGCGATCAAGCAGAGACATGAATACAAAGTCATCAACAAACAAACTTTATGATTTGTCTTCCCTCCCTCCGACACATTTGTGTATAAAATAAATAAAAGTGCAGAAAGTCCTGGGGGGAGCCGGTAGAAGACAATAAAACAGCCTTAACCCTTACCCTCTGGGGTCTGAAATGCTAGCCTGACCTGCCAGACTCCTCCTCTGTTTAATTCTGCACAGAGAAAGAGTCTGGGAACTCTCCTATTCAAACAACCCCACCCCCTGAGAATTCTAACTGAGCCAATCAGCACTGAGTAGCGTACGTCACACAGCATAACGCAGAGTTTGCCATGGGCTTGTTCGAGTTGAGCAGCGCCTCGCCTGGAAAAGAGACAAGAGCAGACGGATGCTAGCCTAGTGAACTAGACAAAATTCTTGCTTTGCAAAGTTTATATATTCATATATATAGTCTGGCTTGCCAGGCTAGATGGATGCTGCAGTGGGAGTGGCTGAAAGCCGATGTTTAAGTCGGACAGATTTCCCTACATGTGTAGCTCACAGGTGATGATTGATGAAGATATCGCGTTAGAGTTCATACTTGTTTAATTTGTCATTTTAATTTTGGTGCCTGTTAGCAACCGAAACACATCCTCACATGCTTGTGGATTTCATATATTGTATATGAAGATATGACTACAATAATAAGTAAGGGTTATTGGCTGTAGTTTTAGTGTGCTAACAGGAAACGTGAGAAAATGGCAGGTGGTTTCTGAAACCAAACACTTGACAGAAAACAGATGGATGTGTTTGGAGGTCTATTGTCAGCGCGTGCCGGTGAATGAAGCAGAGGTAAGGATCCATATGCGGGTGAGGGAAGCAGGCAAGCAGACACACAGGAACGATTAAAGGTTTTAATGGGGAACACGCCAACATAGAAACAATGATCCAACACAAGACACAGAACTGAAGGGGGTTAAATACAAGAAGGCTGGGAGTTTGGGTGATTGGAAAACGAGAGGCAGGTGGGAGCAATTAACAGAGACACAGGACTAAACCAAAAGGGGAGACAGGGCAGGGTGTGGCAGTACCCCCCCCCCCCCCAAGGGCGTATTCCAGATGCCCACAGGAACATAGAGCAGGGAGGGAGGAGGGGGGCCCGGAGGGAGGGCCGAGAGGGACCGAGGGCCCATTAGAGTTCAGGGGCCTGCGCCTGGAGCAGAGGAGGCGGTGACGATGGGCTCTTGGGGGCCTGTGTCTGTGGCAGAGGAGGAGGCAACGACAGGCTCTTGGGGGCCTGCGTCTGTGGCAGAGGAGGCGGTGACGATGGGCTCTTGGGGGCCTGTGTCTGTGGCAGAGGAGGAGGCGACGACAGGCTCTTGGGGGCCTGCGTCTGTGGCAGAGGAGGAGGCGACGACAGGCTCTTGGGGGCCTGCGTCTGTGGCAGAGGAGGAGGCGACGACAGGCTCTTGGGGGCCTGTGTCTGGGACAGAGGAGAAGACGAGGATGGACTCTTGGGGGCCCGCGCCTGATGAGGGCAGGACTGGCGGTGACCGGAGGCAGAGACGCCGGAGGAGACGTCCTTGACTTCTGGACTGGAGGCGGCATCATCGGCTTCTGGACTGGAAGCGGTGTCGTTGGCCTCTGGGCTGGAGGCGGCGGCGTCGGTCTCTGGGCTGGAAGCGTCGGCGTCGGCCTCTGGGCTGGAAGCGGCGGCGGCGGCCTCTGGGCTGGAGGCACTGTCGACCAATGGAGGGGAGACGGCGTCGTCCACCGGACCTGAGACGGCATCGACCACTGGACTGGAGAAGGCGTCGACCACGGGACAGGAGACGGTGTCCACCACGGGACAGGAGACGGCATCCACCACGGGACAGGAGATGCGTCGACCACTGGACAGGAGACGGCGTCGACCACTGGACTGGAGACGGTGTCGACCACTGGACTGGAGACGTTGGACTGGAGGGGACGTCGACCTCTGGACACGAGGGAGCGTCAACCTCTGGACACGAGGGAGCGTCGACCTCTGGACACGAGGAAGCGTCAAACTCTGGACACGAGGGAGCGTCGACCTCTGGACACGAGGGAGCGTCGCCCTCTGGACTGGAAAGAGCGTCGACCTCTGGACTGGAGAGAGCGTCGACCTCTGGACTGGAGGGAGCGTCAACCTCTGGACTGGAGAGAACGTCGACCTCTGGACTGGAGAGAGCGTCGACCCCTGGACTGGAGAGAGCGTCGACCTCTGGAGTGGATGAGGCGTCGACCTCTGGAGTGGATGAGGAGTCGACCTCTGGAGTGGATGAGGCGTCGACCTCTGGAGTGGATGAGGCGTCGACTACAGAACACGAGGAGGCGTCGACTTCAGAACACGAGGAGGCGTCGACTTCAGAACACGAGGAGGCGTCGACTTCAGAACACAAGGAGGTGTCGACTTCAGAACATGAGGAGTGGAAGAGGCGTCGACCACCATCGACTTCTGGTCCAGGGGCGTCGATTCCTGGTCCGGAGGCGTCGACTTCTGGTACGTCGACTTCTGGACCATCGACATCTGGTCCGGAGGCGTCGACTTCTGGTCCGGGAGCATCGACTTCTGGAGCGTTGACTTCTGGTCCGGGGGCGTCGACTTCTGGTCCGGGAGCATCGACTTCTGGATTGTCGGCATCTGGACCGCTGGCCTCTGGACTGCCGACTTCTGGACCGTCGATTTCTGGACCGTCGACTTCTGGACCAGGGGCGTTGACTTCTGGTCCGGGAGCGTCGACTTCTGGACCGTCGACTTCTGGACTGTCGACTTCTGGTCCGGAGGCGTCGACTTCTGGTCCGGGAGCGTTGACTTCTGGATCGTCGGCTTCTGGACCGCCAGCTTCTGGACCGCTGGCTTCTGGACCGCCGGCTTCTGGACCGATATATATGTATATATATATATATATGAACCCTGGAAAATTTATTTTCTAACAGTCTGGAAGCACTGCATTTGCTTCAGAGTGGACGAATGGCCAAAACAAACAAAAAAAAAAGAAGAAAAAAAAAGAAAAAAAGAAAAATCTAGCTCTCAATAACCCGAAGATAGTTGAGGCTGGTAAATGTTAGCTGGTAGAAACCATGATTGCACTGCGTTGTGTAGTAATCCAGTACCAAGACCAAAGAAAATATACCACCAAAATAAAATAAAACAAAATAACTAAAATAATAAAACAGAATATGGTGACCAAAGCCCACGAAAATGGTCACAAGGTCCCACCGTAATATTTAACAATCAAGTCTCACAAAATCAGCTCATTACTCCAAAGAAAATGACAAAGGTCAAAGTGAAACCACTTCTTTCAAAATGTATCTAATTAGTCAAAACAGTAAAAGAAAACAGGTAAAAGAGTTCGTAATATTTGGCTTGGGGTTTAGACTGCCAATGTAAACATTTGGCTGAGAACCTTCAAACTTTCACAAGCGGAGCTGAGCTGAAGTTCACGTTCCAGGAAGGAACAGCCTTACCAAGTGTAAAATAGAGACCATCTTGAATCAAAGTTGCATTTTTAACCTTAGTCCAGTAGCAAAAAGCAGATTAGCCACCTCACAGCTAATCTGTTTCCGCAGAAAACCGAGTCTGGTAAAACCAGAGTTGTATCAGAATGAATACCTCCTATTTTAAATTTACAAAGGCTGTTTCAGTTAAAGGGGGAAAAGAGTTTGTCATTCAAAAAATGGCAGTAAGGCACTTTCTCTACAGCTCTTCAATCATATTAAGCAGAAGCTATTTGTGATGCTATTTACATCAGTCTAAAACATAAAAATTATAATTTTATAATATTGTTTCGTACAACTCTGTAGCTTGGGGCTAAATCCAGCAGATAAGAGAAATGAGTAAAGGGGCTGGATTATTTCTGCATTATGGGGAATGTACTACACTAAAGAGAAAGGTCTAAAAACTGCATCATCTGCTTTTTAGTCTGGGGTTTTGGGGTGATCAAAATGGGTTTCCTTTCGTCCTGACTGGATCTGCCAGCCTTCGCCTGACAGAGTGTGTCCCACATGCCGGACTGAGAATTTCTATCCACTGTAGATCCTTTTTACTGAATTTGTTCCCTGTTAGGTGGAGGTATTGCAAAAAGGCATGAGAGTCTGTGAGGCAAAACTCTGCACCGCCAGATGCAATCAAATCAGCATCCACGTAAACAAGGATTTCAGAGAAGTGGCTTTTCATTAAAGGCCAGCGAGACAATTAGTGATTGCTTTGTTAAAAATAGTGGGATTTTATAAGTTGTGCTTTTAGTTTTGTAGATGAAAGCAATCCAAAGTCAGAATGCACAGGAACCTAAAAATGCATTGCTTCAGGGGACAAAGGGTATTTTAAATTGGGGAATTGTTTTACTCTGGGCCTAAACTGGGAATTTGGCTCTACTGGGATTTCTGGCTGGTGTTTACATTCCAAGAAGGACTGAGGAAGTTAAACTGAGACATTCAGCAGGATACCAAACAAATGATTCACCGTAGATGGTCACTATCGCTCTACCAGTCAATACATTGCAATCCATAATAAAACAATTACGAAGGAGAGAAAAATAAAGAAATAAATTGTATAGAACACATTAAACCCAAATCCAATTCCTATGATTTGCAGGCCTTGAGGCGCTCGAAGGCTTTTTATAACAAAAGAAAAAAACAAACCAAATGAAGATGTTAAGGTGGCCACCATAAAACAACAAGAGAAAAATGAAGCCAATGCGAGTCACCTCAGTTGTGACTTTCTCATTTCTCTTCAGACTTCTAAACAGTTTAACAGAATATCAGATATCGGAGAGATTCAAATGATGACAATCATTAAAT